TATTAACAGTCTCAAAATTATCTGTCTGCGAACAACTCCTTCATTGTGCCTCTTTCACCAGGTTTCAAACCATTCAGTGATTTCAGAATCTACTTAGTATTAATTTGAATATATGTTTTTTGTTATTTTACATTCCATTTTTGGTTTTGAAAAAATAAAGTGCTTGCCAAAGTAGAAAGACAGGGAATTAATAAAACAAATAATTTCTGTTTGCATTGGAGAAAGAGAAAAAGATTAATGAATAGAAGGAGGAACTACAGTACATACAGCCAAAGATTCTTCTTACAATTTAACCCAAGCAATATTCTGGGTAAAGCATGTGTAAAGACTTTATTGCGACTGTTTCCAAAACATTAGTACTGAGAAGACTATCCTGTTAATATCCAGAATGGTCAGAGGTAATAACATAATATAAAGCAATGTTTCTCAATCTTGCCAGCTTTAAAATGTATGGACTTCAACGCCAAGGATTCCCCACCCAGCATGCCCTTAAGATGGTTAGAGTTGAGAAACGGTGTTCTAAGGCAGGGGTGTCAAACTCACAGCCCACGGACCAGATGCGTCACATGCTGGCCACACCCACCCTGGTTTAGCGAAGGGGGGAAAGTTGCGATACGTCACGTGACAACAATGTGATGCTGCGAGTTTGACAGCCCTGATCTAAGGCATGTCTTTCTAATCTCATGCCATCCAGATGGGCTGGAGTTCAGTCCCCTTATTTCTCCATCCGCGGTAGACTTACATTAGATCTTGCAACAATTCTCTCATCCATACAAACCTGGGAACAGGGAGGGTTGCAATATTGGAATCCCGACTCCTCCTCAGCTTTTTGGATAATGAATAACAGAAATTATAATACAGAGCTTTTTTAAAGGCAGAGGACCTGATCCAGGGCTCATTATTCTCCTGGTAGTATAGTAAGAATAAAAATGATTTCGGTTTTGCCTTAGGCAGCAGTGCCCAACCTTTTGAGTACCAGGGATAGGTTCCAGGGAAAACAATTTTTCCACACACCAGGGGGGAACGGCGTGGTTTCATGCACTACCTAATGGACCACAGAGCAGTACTGATTCATGAACTAGGGATTGAGAACCACTGCCTTAGGGCATTAGTACCTTTCCTGGTACTTTGCAACTCTTCCCTCAGATCTGTTGATCACATAGATTCAGTTTCTTGTTTCTTGCCTTCGGAAGTTGTGGGAGCTTCATCACTGGAGGCTTTCAAGAAGAGACTGGACTGCCATTTGTCAGAAAAGGTGTAGGGTCTCCTGTTTGGGCAGGGGGTTGGATTAAATGACCTACAAGGTCCCTTCCAACTCTGTTAATCTAATTTTAATTTATTTTTTTTTATACCTGAGATGCTGCTTTAAAACCATGCAACCTAAGTATCCTGTTGAATATACGGGCCATTTCTATTTATTTTTTGCAGCTGTGGATATAAACAGTGAATTGCTTCATAAACAGCTGCAGAGGCAGATCTCCTAGAGTCGCATCGGGAAATATTATATCCATTTCGGTTACAACCGTGTTTTGATGCCTGTTTTAAAAATAAACCAACCATTACTTGTCACATCGGCTGAGTCTTTGCTACTGTCAGATTCTTACAGCCCAAAGCTCTCCATATGGAATGACAGATGCTGAGCCCGAAGAAGAAAAACAAGCTCCCAAATCCTTGAAGCAATCATTTGTTCTAGTTCTAGATTTGTAAGGATTAGTTACGGAGTCCTCACTTCCTGCTGCAGTTTGGAAGGAGCATGCGTATTTGAAAAGTAGAAATGCTTTGGTTTTTTTAACTCCTCGATCCTGTCCCTTTGCAAAATGAGATGACCTAAATCGGGAGTCACCAACCTTTTGGACCTCAGGGACCACCAAACTCATAATTTAAAATCCCGCAGACCAGAGACCCTGGGAAAATCCCCCAAACAGTCTGCAGGAAAATTCCCCATCCCATTTTCCTACCAATCAATCATTTTTGGGGGGGATCACAGGATACTGTCTCTAGCTCCATTCTTGGGGAGCGGGAGAGAGAGAGAGAGAGATAGAGAGAGACTTTTGGTTTCATGCAAGGAAAGCAGCAGAAGCAGCAGAAGTCTTTTCTTTCTCTCTCCCAAACTCTGTCAGAAATGAGCCTTTGTGAGACTCGTTGCGCCAGTGCAGCCTCTTGGAGCAGGATGCCTTGTAGGGTCCCAAAGACTCTAGTTTGGGGGAGAGAAAGAAAGACTTTTGCTGCTTTCCTGGCGTGCAGCCAAAAGCAGAAGCAGAAAGAAGCAGCCAGGTGGCCAGGCAAGCACGTGGGGCGAGTGGGGCAAGTTCCCCCACTCTACCCTTTCCCCCCTCCCATCACTACCTTGTGTTGCTCGCAATGCAAGCAATGCAAGCCTTGTGTTCCCACAGGCTATGTGGGCAGCACAGCCTTGTGTTCCCACACAGCCTGGATTAATTGCTTTGGGGGTGACATTTCTCTGTGCACCACCAAAATTTTCTCATGCACCACTGGTCTAAATCTTGCAGGAACATCTGAGTAAAAGGGATCTGCTGCTGAGCATGATAAAGCCTCTCCTGCCCAGGTCCTTGGGTTCATCTTTTCAAAGGGTCACAGAGTGACAGGGTGCATTGCTCTTGTCTCTTTCCCCGCTATGCCTTTTTAATGTAAAAATGACCTCTTTTCTGCTGTATATATGAATGGGGATAGACATGTAAAAAAAACCTACATATCGCATTGGCCACTTAATGCTTTTTTGATGAATCTCATGAAGGAGAAGGACTCAGAGTCCTGATAACGCAGAGATCTTGCCTTGGTATTCAGCCCTATCCTTAGGTGGCTTGTTTGCTAGGTGGTGACAGGAACATCTGGTTGTCTGATGTCTATGGATATTCTCTATTATCCAAATCATGGTTGTCTGATCTTTCTTGCATGTGCAGGAAGCTGAGAGGGGTTTCCTAACCTTCTGTGAACAGCATTGGTATATTTCTATGCTGTAGATCAGCACACATGTACAAAATCTTTCTTTCTGCTCCTTCCTTCATTTTTGTTGTGCTATGACTTTTGTCTCTTGCCTGCTTTTGTCAAGGGAAGAGATGTAATGTTTACTTATCCACAGGAAGATGTGCTTTTTCCCACAGGACCGTGAAACATTTTAATAGACTAATTGGACAGAGAGGTTGTCTGTTATTCATGTACTTACATTACATGTGAAATACTTTCATATTGCATCATTCATTCAATATTGGCACAATGCCATCATTATGTAATCTACTGAAATGACATAAAGTGGCACAAACTTACACAATTTGTGTTATATCTATGAAGACACATTAAGCAAATGATATAAATTCTCCCCAGAATTGGGCCTGTTGCATGTAGAGTCCGTTCTGTTGAGATCTGCTAAATTGAATTTACCCTGTATTTTAAATCCACCCAGGCCATGTCAAGTTGTATAATCCAGGACTCTGTAATAATCCTGTTTGTTTGTTCTATATCCTTTGTGGGGAATATCCTTTTATTGCTCATGCTCAGATTCTAAATAGATTGTATAATCCTGGCTACACTGGTTTTGCTCTTTGTATATTTGATTTTCTAGGGCTTTGGTTGGGGAAGAACAAGGAAGAAGAACATTTACTGTGGCATAATGTAGTAGCTGTTCTTGAAAAAAATCTAAGAACGCTGCTCCCTGGGCATGTGTCTCCACTCTGTCAAATGGGAATGTTGTAACATTCTTGCACATCCTGAACGCTGTGGTGGTGCAGTGGTTGTAGTGCAGTATTGCAGACTAACTCTGCCCACTGCCAGGAGTTCAGTCCTGACTGTCTCAAGGTTGACTCAGCCTTCCATCCTTCTGAGGTCAGTAAAATGAGGACCCAGATTGATGGGGGCAATATGCTGACTTTGTAAACTGCTTAGAGAGGGCTTTAAAGCACTATGGAGCAGGATATAAGTATAAGTGCTATTGCCAATGCTATTGCTATTGCTGTGTCAGTAAAAAATGCCACGGTAGGGAATATACCTACCATGATTGTTCTTTCTTTCTGCCATTTTTTTCTTTTATATCAAGGTTGCCCATCCCTTCTCTCTCAAATTTGAGGCACATAATTCCTTGATATGCGAGTCTTTGAAAACAAATAACCTTGTCCCCTATATAGCAAACATCCACATGTATTAATTGTGTCCACCTATCTGATGGATTATTTTTTAAACAGGCCCGTCTTCAGCTCTTTGTATTTCAAGTCCTTTTATTGCTTAAATAACAGCAGCTTGGGAATGGTGAGAGGGAAAGTAATGTAAAGTCCACTTTGCAAATAATGTTAAAAGGAGATGTAATCTTTTGCATGACAATCAGAAAGGCTCTGTGTCAAGAGCCTTCATGAAAACTTCAGGGATAGCAGAAGGATACAAGCAGTTGGGACCAGAATTTCCATTGGTAAACAAGGTGGTTGTTAAATGACTTGCACCTGAATTTACACCAATTTTTTTGCCAAAGTTAATGACTGAATCAAGCAGTCATTAAGTGAATCCAGGTTTCCCGATTGACAGAAGCTGATTGAGAAGGTTACAAACAGCACATGATTTCAGGATGCTGCAACCATTGGAAGTGCCAATACCAAGCCCCTGAATTTGGATCATGTGACTGTGAGGGTGCTGTGTGAAAACCAATCATAAATCAATTTTTTCAGTGCCATTGTAAGTCGAGGACTACCTGTGTTTCTATTATTGGTAATGTATATTTGATTGTGGAATTGCTTTTTCAAAATACTATGAAACAGACAATTTCATGGGAAATAAGCTAATTTCCTTAGCTAAATGAATTGAAGTGCTCTCATTATTAAATGTTTTTACACCCGGAGTAGGAAAATATTGTTTTGTCTTCATTCCAGTTATCTGTTACATTTTAAAGGTGCCATTAGATTGGCACTAGTGACCCAACAGATTTATGTGATTGCTTTATTCCTATTTTGGATATACATATTTACTGCATTAAAATAAAATCTTATTTTCTTTCTTAGCATTGGCAATCACAGGACAGTGAAGAATATGAAGCTGAAGGTAAGAGAAGATTACACCAGTTTCTTTTAAAATAAATGGAATAGAAAATGGACTGGGAGAAGGGTTGTTTGATTTGGGAGCAGGAAAAAAGAGGGAATTTTTATTTATTTTCTACATTTAAAAATTGTTTAATTTTCAGAGCTTCAAAATTGCTGTTACAACCTCATTTATTTAACACGTTACAATTCTGCATTTCACAGTATTTATAATTATATGGAATGTACAATTAATTGTAACAGAGTAGAGATGCAACAATAAAGTAATTTTCTTGGTTCAGACATTGTCAAGTGCTTTTGAACAACATATTAAAGATACCATCAGGCCCAAAACCAAATATGATACATGAAGTTTCTTCCAAGCTGAGTTCTTTATTGTTTCACACAAAATCTTGTGGACAGGACACTCTAATGTCACATCTGCATCTACAATATACTGCGCACTATTAGGGAGTTCTTCACCTTTTCACACACACAACATCCAGACTGAGTTGCCTCTTACTCCTCTGGAATGCACCCCCTCCCTCCTGGAGATCCACCCCTCACTATATTCCATCACAGATACCATCTGTCTTCAAAGTATCCGTAATGAGCAGAAGCCAGACTAGAATAGGTACATACTGGTTGTTCTGAACTGCATGTTATTTGGAAGATATGGAACTGTCCAAGGTGGCCCATAGGAGCTGAGCAGGTCCCAGCACATAATCAACTAAACTTTAATAGAACATTGTAGATTAGGTCTGAAACAAGCAGTATTGGAAGAAGAGGAATAGAAGAAGAGGAAAATTGGAATAACGGAAAGCAATTTTAAACTATCTCAACCTGAACTATAAGTGAAATTAAGGCAATGTCATAATGAAAAAACTTTGTATGAAACAGCTGTATGATGCTGTTCATGCCACAGTTAGAATGACATGACGGTTAAGTTAGAAGTTAACTTAAAGACACAAGAATTTGTGGTTAACCTATACCAAAAATGTTATCTTTAAATTCTTAATTTATTTTAAACTGTTCAAGGAGCTTATTAGACATTATAGTGTATTATGTAGGATGTGTAAATTATTTAAAATAAGCAGTAAGGAAAAGCAGTAGTCTTTATATTAGTATAACTAGAAAACATCAGGGAGAACGTTGATAAGAATTTACACTGTTTCAAAGATTCACTAACTCTATGGCTTTTCGTCTGTTTGCTTTTTCAAATGTAGGGGTTTTTTTCATCTCCCAAATCAAGCTTTGTTGCTTTCTTTTTAGGCCAGTTGAGGTTCTGGAATCCTGATGACTTGAATACATCTCCAAATATCTTCCCCTCTCAGGATTGGATAGAAGAGAAGTTACATGAGGTTTGCAAGGATCTTGGAATTTCCCGAGATGGTCACTTGAACAGAAAGAAGCTTGTCTCCATTTGTGAGCAGTTTGGTTTGCAGAATATTGATACTCAGGTACCTAATGAGGATTCTGCCCTGCTCTGCCCTACTCTAGGTCAATATAACTGCTGGGAATTGTCATTCTTATTTCTTAACTTTGCAAATTTAAACATATATTCTCATGGTTTGGGGAAAATATTCTGAGGTTTATAGGCTGCAGGCAGCCCCCTAAACAAGTTTTATAGTTCTCTAGCACTTTGCTGAAATTTAGTAGCAAATCACCAGTGGCATGGTTTCCATTAATTTTTGCAGAACATAAAATAAAACAAGTCTATTAAGCCTCCAATAGGCTCAATACAAATTCCCCATATGGAATAATGAAATGACCATTCTCTCCTCCATCTCTTCAGATAAATCAAAACAATGTTAACATTATGATTTTACTAACTCTGGAAGTAAAACAAAGACAAACAGTATCCCTACTGTCTGTTTTATAATTTTACAGGGCTATAGGTACATTTTGGTCTGATTGAACAGGTTTTTCACTATACTTCTTTTCCTTCATATTATCTACTTTTCCAAAACTATAGGAATTGTAAAAATCCCATCTTTATATTACTTTGGCATGAGGTTTTTGTTTTTTTAAAGCTTGTCCTTCTTTGGGGTAGGAAGGTTGCCACAAAAGCAGAGAAAAAGCTGCAGAGACAGAGCTTTGGTTGTCCCATGCATTTGTGGGAACTTTTACTAAAGTTGAATTCTCATGAAAACAAAGTTACAGAGCCTTTCCTTAAATAGCATAAGATCCAAGTCTACCTGTGCAACAATAGCTCTATTCTCAGCTTAAATGTTCAGCATTTAGAACAAGTTTGAGTTCAGTAAGCCTAAAAACAGGAAAAGTCTTTTGGGGTTCAACTTAACTTCCAATAACTTCATGGATGCATGTGTGCTGTTTCCTTGGCAACAGTATGTGTTTGTCATTGCCTTCTGGGATGCTTTGGGTCTCCACAGTCAGTAAGTTAGAGAAACTAGTTGAAAATTACAGACCAATCTCTTTATGCTGTGTCACCTATAAAGTCATGGAATCAATTATTAACCAATCCATCATCCTCAACTTAGAAACAAACAACCTACTCTCTAATAAACAATTTGGTTTCAGGAAAAAACTATCATATAATCTGCAACTCTTACACTGCAGAAACATATGGACTACACAACTCGATCAGAGCAAAGCAATAGACGCAATCTACATAGACTTCTGTAAAGCCCTTGATTCAGTGGTACACGACAAACTACTCCTAAAACTAAAATCCTATGGTATCTCTGGACAACTGCATAACTGGATAGAAGCATTCCTGTCAAAACAACAACAAATGGTCAAAATTGGGAGCGTCTTATCAAATTCTGTACCTGTCAACAGTGGTGTCCCCCAAGGCAGTGTTCTAGGACCAACTCTTTTCATACTCTACATAAATGACCTCTGTGATCATATCAAGAGCAACTGCCTTCTCTTTGCTGATGATGTAAAGCCATTCAACACCACAGACAATATTGCTACCCTCAGAATGGTCAAGCAAATGGCAACTTCAAATCTCAAAAAATAAATGCTCTATCCTACATATTGGCAAAAAAAGTCAGAAAATAAAATACAGGCTGAATCGTCAAGACCTTGTTCATGATCCAAACTCTGTCAAGGATCTTGGAGTACTCATCTCTAATGATCTAAGTGCTGGAGCCCACTGTAACTATATAACCAAAAAGGCATTAAGAGTTGTTAACCGAATCGTACGTAGCTTTTTCTCTGGTAATATTACACTACTAACTAGAGCATACAAAACATTTTCTAGACCAATACTCGAATACAGCTCATCAATCTGGAACTCACATTACGTATCTGATATTAACACAATTGAGAAAGTCCAGAAATATTTCACAAGAAGAGTTCTTCATTCCTTTACTCGTTGCAGAATACCTTATGCCACCAGACTCGAAATTCTAGACCTAGAAAACCTACAACTATGCCGCCTTCGGTCCAATCTAAGTATAGTATATAAAATCATACATTGCAATGTCCTACCTGTCAATGAATACTTCAGCTTCAATCATAACAACACAAGAGCACACAATAGATACAAACTCAAGGTTAACTGCACCAAACTTGATTGCAGGAAATACGACTTCAGCAACAGAGTGGTCAATGTCTGGAATACTCTACCTGACTCTGTGGTTTCTTCCCCAACCCCCCAAAACTTTAACCTTAGACTGTCTATTATTGACCTCACCCCTTTCCTAAGGTGTCTGTAGGGGGTGTGCATAAGCGCACCAACGTGCCTACCGTCCCTGTCCTATTGTTTCTTTTATATTTTTATTTTTCTTATATGTATCCATGTATTCATAACTGTGTTTTTACTTATACCTATTATCTTGTAAGCAATTAACAAAAATAAATAAATAAATAAAATAAAATAGAGTCCCCCGTCTGTAGTATTAATCAAGATCTACCTTACCTAAGCCCAGATGAAGTTAGCCAGATGCTGCCACCTGCTGTTCCCTAGTCTCATTTTTCTGGGTTTCGGACTACATCAGTGAATTTCAGTTACACTGAATTTTCTGAATTATACTAGGATGTTTTCCCGCCATGAGGCACTGCACATTTTTACTAATTTGAAACATCTGCTTCCTCTTAGATGCTGGAGGAAGTATTTCGCAACCTTGACCACAACAATGGTACAATGAGTATAGAAGACTTTTTCTATGGGCTCTTTAAAATAGGGAAGCCTCTCCCACCTTCTGCTTCTACTCCATACAGGCAGTTGAAACGTCATCTTTCTATGCAAGTAAGTGCTTTCAACGTGCTTTCTCCATGCCCATCACTAAAATGTTCTGTTTTGCTCTCCAGCCACGTTTAATTCAATCTAGGTCAGGGGTGTCAAACTGGCAGCCCATGGACCACATGTATCACACACAGGCGACACCCACCCCAGCTCAGCAAAGGCAAAAAACATTACAGTACATCACATGATGTCACATGATACGATCGAGTTTGACACCCATGATCTAGGTCAAGTTCTCCCGTGTTTTGTTTTGAAAATAGCACTTATAGCACAACTATTAAAGACAGAGAGGAAAATATTCTTGTCAAATATTTGTATTATCTCAATTGCTTTTTGGCACTATGTTTTTTCTCTTGACTGGGCTTTCTTATTTCCAATTTTTCTTTATTTGTCCCAGAAGTTTATTGGATATTTATAGATGCTGCTGTTTAATTGACTGCGATTGGCCTGATCGATATAAGCTATCTTCATCAGCAAAATTGTAAAGCTCATCTGAAAAATGAAAATTGAAACTCCTGTTTGGCGTTTATGAAACAAAAGAAAGTAACAGTGGCTCAATCTTAAATATTATCCTGAGGCCTTGTTGCATACAAATATCATAGAATCATAGAATTATAGAGCTGTAAAGAGCCACAAAGATTATCTAGTTCACTATTTTTCAACTTTAAAATGTGGGGACTTCAACTGCTGGCTGTAGATTTCTGGGAATTGAAGTCCACATATCTTATAGTTGCCAAATTTGAAAAACACTGATCTAGTCCAAATCTCTCTCATGTACAGGAAAACCAGTTAAACTGTCCATGAAGGGTAGAAAGCCTCAAGAGGTGGAAAATCTAGATATGCTCAGGGGTTGCTCATTTGGACTTATTCTGAGAGAGCAAAACCATATCTATAGCTTAAATCAGGGGTCTCCAACCTTGGCAACTTTACAACTTGTGGACTTCAACTCCCAGAATTCCTTAGCCAGCACACACTGGCTGAGGAATTCTGGGAGTTGAAGTCCACAAGTCGTAAAGTTGCCAAGGTTGAAGACCCCTGGCTTAAATGTTACTGAGAAATGAGGCCTTACAAATATGGAGGGTGGAGGTGCTCAAATGAAAGCACTTGCCGTCTTCTGGAAATCAAGCCCATCAAGAAGAAAGATTCCAAATTAATGTCCTGACATGATTGTTTTTTCCCCAGAGGGCAAAATTTACAGGCTACAGAATAGCATCTTTCTCTCTCTTTTCCTCCCTCTCTCTTCCTTCTCCTCCTCCTCCCCCCTCCTCTTTCCAGGCCTTTGATGAAAGTGGGAGACGTACCACCCCTCCCTCAGCAATGACAAGTACAATCAGCTTCCGTGTCTTTTCCAGCCTGGATGATGGGATGGGCTACGCTGAAGTGGAACAAATTCTTGATACTTGGCAAGAACAAGGCATAGAGAATAGCCAGGAGATCCTGAAGGTAATGTATTCCACAGTTACCCAGTTAGTAATGCAGTTTCAGAAATATATCTGAACTGCAGATTCAAAGTACTATTCAGAATCCACAAAGGATTTTAATGGGATGCCACACATTTCAATCTGGGGAAGATGCTCAGAGCACTTTGTCAGGAAGCTTTCATCTTCCCCAACAATTACACACCCCAGGGCTTCTGGGTGAACTGATGTGGTGCAGTTAAAATGTGGATTATTCAGGCCTTTGTGAGCAAAAGGAATTCCCCCATTGCAGTCTAAGCTGCTCATCTCCTATGCAACTCCCAGCTGTTTCTGAACCTCTTTTAAACATTTCAGGCCAGCATGTGGTTGTATTGATGTTCAATCAGGGCTGTGAGCACCACAAGATTTGATTGGTTATTCCCCTGCTTCTTGTTCCTCCCACCTGAGCAGGGAGAGCAACCCTCATTGGCTGGCTCCTGTGCCTGGCTTTCTTTTTTTAGAACAGTGTTCTTGAACCTCAGCCACTTTAAGATATGTGGCCTTCCAAGTCCATAATTCCTCAGTCAGAATGCTGTCTAGGGGATTCTGGGAGTTGACGTCCACACCTCTTAAAGTGGCTGAGGTTGAGAAGCACTGTTTAGAAATTATCCCCCCCACCCCGGTTAGTCTCCATGCCTTTGCTTTTGTAGGAGACCAGCTTTCACAGATGTTTGCACATGGATGGCTTTCCCTTCCCTTGACACAAACAAAGGTTCTTCTGTTTTCCACCCCATATTGTACTATCAGTGCTCTGAGGCTTCAGTAATCAAAGCAAAGGAAATGGATTGCCTTTTCATTCCTACACACAACTATAGGTCCAAATAAGCTTTAGGGCAAGGAAGAACTGATGATTCATCATCATAGAAGCAAAAATAACATTTTTGAAACCTTACAGCTTTATTCTAACACGTGCATTCAGATTTAAGAAAAAACAGAAATACTCTGAATAGGGGTGGGAAAGCAAAAATAAAACGTTTTGACCTGGGCAACAACTTAAAAGAAGTAAGGTTAGAATGGAGCAATGACCTTCTAGAGCAGGGGTGTTAAACTTGCATTGTCATGGCGGTGTCACGTGACATATGACTTTTCCCCCCCTTCGCTAAAACCGGGCATGGGTGTGGCCAGTGCATGATGCATCCGGCCCACAGGCCGCAAGTTTGACAGCCCTATTCCAGAGCAACGTTTTTCAAATTTGGCACCTTTAAAATGAGTGGATTTCAACACCCAGAAGTTTGGGAGAGGAGGTGCACACATCTTAAAGTTTGAAAAAACCATTTGGGTAAACGGTGGGAAGCAACAGGACAACTTAATGGACCATCACTGGATCAACTGCAAAATAATTTTTAGAAGGCAACTCCTGACCAGCAGAGAGGATTGGAGCCTGGACAAAATGGCAGAATAGGGCAGCAATCAGCTGCTGGAGTGGAGGGGGTGTACCAAGTACTGCAGACAATCAGCATTATTGCTATATTGGAATGAAGCACTAAAGACCATCTGCTTGGAAGGGCTTAAGATGGCTTACATAGTACTTTTAAAGTAGAGATACAAAACACATGTGATGGGGAGGGGTGCCTTTGCCCAGGAGCCTGTGCAGTGAGTGGTATGTTCTGGCAATGGGGCAAGCAGAAAGTATGGATCTTCCTCATTTGTCCATCTCCAGTCAGAGGTAAATGTACTATTTTCAAGAGAAGCCATTATAGTACCTAGAGTACCGTGATGGCACAGCAAGATGAAACTGCCCAGAATCCACTAAGTAAATATTTGGCTGCTGAGCTCTGCTTGTTTGTGTAAAGGGAACGTCAAATTAACCATGACTTTTTTCATAAGATCTATCCATTTGGTATCCAACCCAAAAGTTTGTCAAACTTTGCCCTTGTTATGCAAAGAATCATTCTACTGGAACTGCTGAGATATGTAGGCTGCACTGAGATCCTGAGTAAGACCCATCTATTATTTGTACTCTAGAATTCCACTCATGTCTTCCTAAATATATTCCACATCAAACAACTCTTGTGATGGCATCCTGTAGCTTATCCTTTGCTACCATTTTGTCTTTTTCTAAAACAGAAGAGACAAAAGGGAAGGGAAGTCATTTTTAAAGGCACAAAAGGCTGAAACATTTTTTCTCTGGCATATGAGGGTTTTGTTTTGCTTTGGGGTCATTTTTTTGTGGAGTGGGAGACAGGATTGTATGCAGAGGAGAACTAGAAAGAAACGGAAGAACTTTTTATCATCTGGTTCTTCTCCAGGGATAGATTGAAGGAGAAAGTTGAGCCACATTTCCTACTCGGGTAGAATGAAATGAGAAAAACCAGAAGTGGCATGTGGGATCCTTGGTGCTCTCTGAGCTTGGTGATTTTTTTGCAGACATTTCCTTACCAAACTAGGTAACACAATCAGACTGTATGGTAATGAAATGTCTGCAAGAAAGCCACCAAGCTCAAGAGAGCACCAAGGATCCCACAGTTCAATCCTGAGCTACAAATATTCTCTTCTATCAAAACTGACACCTTTGTCCGTCCTAATTTTCTTGCAGGCCTTAGATTTCAGTTTGGATGGAAAAATTAACCTGGCTGAACTGACTTTTGCCCTGGAAAATGAGCTTCTCATAGCAAAGAATGGGATATACCAAGCAGCACTAGCTGCTTTTAAAATGGAGATTCGGCATTTGATGTGAGTATCTTAACATAAATGTGTGTACAATGATATGGAGATAGTAAATCAGCTTTAACAAAATTCTGAAATGTAAGGTTTTGGGGATTCCCCAATGAGGACTTCACTTTGACAAAGTTTCAGTCAAAACACGTCTTCATGTGCTAGATCAGAGTTGCCCTGTGGCTTTGGTCTGAATGCTAAGCACAGAGGCCCATTTCCAGCTGGATGAAGCCTTCAGCTAGCTAGAGAGAATCTTTCTGCTTTGATTCAAGGCATTTAGGCTTATATACTGCCCCCTAAGCGCTTTAGAGCACTGTTGGGGTCAGGAGTCTCCAAGCTTAGCCACTTTAAGACTTGTGGACTTCAACTCCCAGAATTCCCCAGCCAACCATGCTGGCTGGGGAGTTGAAGTCCATAAGTCTTAAAGTAGCCAAGATTGGAGACCCCAGCTCTGGGTGGTTCACAATGAAGATGCATTATTTGCATATTGCCTCCAACAATCTGGGTCCTCATTTTACTGATCTCAGAAAGATGGAAGGCTGAGTCAACCTTGAACCCCATCAGGATCAAACTCCAGGCTGTGGACAGAGTTTACCTGCAATAGGGCACTTAATCACTACACTACCTTGACTCGTTTGGCATTGCAACAAAGCAGCTGACGAAACACCTGGAAAACTCTGTATAAACCAAGGCTGACCAAAGCAGGAAGATAATAAGGAAACATCTCTTTACTTTCCAAATTGGGTTTGATTCCTAAAAATTGGTGAAATCCAGAACTGTGTTTCAGTGCCATAAATGATTGTGGCAGGAGCAAATTAGCTGGCTGTAGCCCCGGAGCTTCATGTTTTCCATTTCTTGACACTCATAGACATATATCGGCTCAGGTGGGAGTTTCTTATCCTTACAAAAACTCTGAACTGGGCTAGCCTGTTGGCTGCAACATTTTGTTCAGGATCAGAGGGGTTTTTGGCAGGGGAAGGGAACTCTTTTAAATGGTAAACCCTTTTGTAGCAGAAGCCAGATCTTTTAAACTTGTTGCTCTGTTTCTTAGCCATTCTGTTACCCCAGCAAATGAGCATGTATAGACTCCTGCAAATTCATTTCTCCCATCACTGTCAGTGCCAATCTACTTTGATTCCTGTGATTCTCCAGAGCTTGCTTTCTAGCATGACCGCACAGTCTGAAAGATTTCACTATTTGCCTAATAATGATTTATAAACTTCAACAAGATATTTGTGCATCCAAGTAGACATACTCACAGGTGTGCTTGTCTTGCTGGGAAGTTCAGCAAGCGTTATCTGACAACTGAGTTTTATCTTTTTAGAGAACGGGCTGATCTGGTTCTAAGGGAAAAGGACAAACTACGTCTGGATTTGGAGAAAGTGGAGAAAAGAGCATCACTAATGGCCACCGAAGTGGATGACCATCATGCCGCCATTGAACGCCAAAATGAATACAATCTAAGGTATGTTGCCTTTATTTCAGGACTCACAATCTCAGTTCATGGAATCACTGTGACTTAAGTGGCAACCAGGTCTCTTGAAAATAGCAATTGACAAGACTAGCTGACTCAACTGAGCCATGAATGTTAAGAACAGGCTGGGAAGTAGGTCTGTGGAGATACATCTTTAGCTTTTTGACGTATTTCATGATATGTAGGGAGGATAGACTAAGAACTGCAGGATGAGGCATCTTGAGGAGATTCATAACACCCTTGGAGGAAGGTAGGAAGACCATGTGCTGCTTACAAGCCCCAAATCCATTTTTACCACTTCTTCTACCCCCAGGATCAGAATTAAATAATCATTGATTATTAGTGATGCAATTTTTCATTTTAAAAAATCTTAATATATATGCATAAAGCCTTCAAGTGACTTGCTTTCATTCCCATATTCAGTAACAAAGATGAAAAACAAATGATTATAATAAATGACAATACATAGCCCTTTTTACACACCAAAGAACAATAAAGACATTCAATGAAAACATACTGGAAAGATCAACCTCACAATTTACGAGCCTTCTGAAAGCACCAGGTTTTAACTGTTTTCCAAGATCGCAACTGGCCTGAGACTAAGCAAGAAGAGCACTGCTGCAAAAGAACAGGCAGAAACTGAGAAATATGACAATTTGCATCCATGAAAGAATACAAGTAGTCTTCAACTTACAACAGTTCATTTAGTGACTGAAGTTACAACAGCATTGGGAAAAGTGACTTTTTCACATTTAACGGTCGTTGTGGCATCCTCATGGTCAGGTGATTAAAAATTCAGACGCTTGGCAACTGACTCATATTTAGGATGATTGCAGTGGCACAGGGTCATGTGATTCGCTTTTGCAACCTCCTGACAAGCAAAGACAATGGGGAAGACAGATTCACTTAACAACCATGTTTCTCACTTAACGACTGCCATGATTCACTTAACAAATGTGGCAAGAAAGTTTGTAATATCAAGGCAAAATTCACTTAACAAATGTCTCACTTAGCAACAGAAATTTTGGGCTCAGCTGTGGTGATAAGTCAAGGACTACTTGTATACAGTTCTCAATTCATCCAAATTTCCACATGCTGTCTGCTTGATGTGATCCAGGGTTCTATAGTAGTTTCAAACATTTTGAAATTCGGGTGTATCATTTATCTTGGGAATGAGAAGGTTGTTTTTAAATCCTCTCTAATGAGGATGCCCTGGGATTATTTTGTGAGGCCATTTACATTATCAAGAAGATCCCAATGTGAATGACCATTTTATTGATAAATACCGCTGAATCTATGAAATTTTGTTAGGTTGCTGTCACTCACTGATTTCCAATGCTCAACCCCCGGCTTTTCTGAATCTGTGTGCATAGCAAGCTGGATGAGGAGTACAAAGATCGTGTTGCAGCTCTCAAAACAGAGTTTCAGAAAGACTGCGAGCGGATACAGCAGCAGGCCAGCAAGCAACAAGCAGAATTGGAGCAGGAGATAGAGAAGATGAAAACCGAAGAGAATTATCTCCAGGACCGCCTTGCTCTGACACTGAAGGTAACGGCTGGCTTAAAACAGGAGGGCACCACTTATTTCATTCCACAGACCATGCTTGGCCTTTGAATGCTTGTGGGGAGCTTTATAGTATTCCCATTTAACATGGCCCGGCTAAAGAAAGAGGCAGGACCATGACAACGATTAAAATTAAAATAATCTAAATGCGATTCTTATTACTTCATCTATATTAAATAACTTTGCCACACTCATGTTTATTTGATAGATGCAACTGATTCCCAAGCTCTGTTTTCGGCTGCCACAGCCTCCTACAACTCTCTGCCAGTGAAAATGGAGCTCAGGAGGGCCACCTGCCCAGGCTCCATTTTCGTTGGCAGAGGGTTGCAGGAGGCCATGGCAGCCGAAAACAGCTCAGGAGCCTGTTTTTCCTGGCAGAGCTCTTGGGCTACCACAGGCGCCGACAGGAGTGATGCTGAGCCTGGGGGGGGGCGCTCCCTGGCCACACACCCTCAGGTCAAACACAACCCTGATGCGGCCTTCAATGAAATCAAGTTTGACACCCCTGATTTAGAAGCTAAACAAGCATCTCAGGGCTTAAAAGAAGTAACCCAGTTTCTTTAGAAGGATACCAGTGTATATGAACCTCCTGTCTCTGCATGTGGACGGCTTTTATTACATGCGCCTAATTTTAATGTGCAAATCAATGGGCTGACATTTGGATTGATGTATTTTATTAAAAAACCTTGATGTAAGCTTTTTAAATTATGCAAAAAAATAATTCTTCTGGGGGTTGGAGGTGGGATGGGAAAGATGAAGACCTTCTTCTAATATGATATTCCATGCGGCATCTGCATATTCATTTGAATGCATAAACTGAAAGTTAATTTTAAGGCAGTTAATTTGATTTTAAAACAAGGCAAGGGGTTTCTCCTTTAAATATTATAATGATCCTCCAGAGACCGACCAAGAAATGAAGACATACAGTACATTCCCTTAGATTTTTAAACTAGCCTCCTCTGGACCTGAATAGCAGCCTTTTAATCTGCTATTGCCTACTTTGATCTAATGTCACTCAACCTAGAGTTCTTTTTATTTATTAAAACCAGCATTTTCAGTAAGGCTGAATGAAAAATCCAGACACGGTTAATAATATCAGGGTGAAGAAAACTGAAACTAGGGAAAACACAGTCACTTTATGTATTATTTGAGAACCAAACTGAATACTTTTGAGACCCTCTGGATTTCTTTTTAGGAAAACAGTCGCTTGGAGCATGAGCTCCTGGAAACTGGGGAGAAGTTGGTGAAGTATGAAAGCATGATGAGCAAATTGCAGAATAATTGGGAAAACGTCTTAGCAGACAAGGTAAGATGCGGTTGGTGATTAATTCAGCCTACCAGGAGGTTGGCTTTTAGGATAAGAAGAAAGCAAAACCCCAGAATATATTACAAATGTCTTTTGACTTTATGGAGATGTTAAAGTGCAGTTAATAAGGACTTTGGGTCTGGGTGAATCTGGCACAAACAAAGCCAAGGGAAAGAATGCAGAGATTTTGAAAGTTAAATAGTAAGACTGATACAATAAAAGTCCACTCGGCCATCTGAAACTCTGCAAAGATGTTTGGAACTATATTTTCGGACTTGCAGTTCAATCACTTCAAAGAACCAGTTCAACCCCTTTAGCAAGTGACTGCAAGCATAAGGACCATATTCCTACCATCACCCTAATTATGGAGTGGTCATCCTAGAAAGGCATTTTTTCGGGTGTCCTTCAAGTCTTGATTTTCAGAAACTTCATAATGTATTTTTTTGTAATCGGGGGAGGGTACTATTTTGAATCCACAAATCACCATATAAACTTTTTATTATACTGCAGCCTATAAATACCCCATACTGTGTGGCTCACTGGGTGAGTTGTAGATGTTTTCAGATTTGTTTGCCATTTTATTGCTTAATATAATTTAAAGGAAAATGTAGGAGGTAGTCCTAGCCTAATGACTGCTCATTCAGCGACCACTTGAACTTACCAGTGCTGCAGGAATGGTACTTATAATCATCCTCATACCTATGACGGTTGCAATATCCCTATGGTCACATGACTGCAATCCGGTTGCTTGGCAACCAGCGCGTAGTTATGATGTTGCAGCATCCCAGAGTCATGTGATCTGCAACCTTCAGCGCTGGCTTCTGACAAACAGAGTCAATGGGGAAGGGGTTGCAAAAGATACGCATCCGGCTTCACAATGTTGTAGGATTCATTGAACGTTGGCAAGTGGAAGTACCACAACTGCTGTCACTAAATGGTGCAGTCCTATGCCATTGGGCTTTTATGACTGTGTCACTTAGCAATGGAAATTCAAGCCCCAATTACTTAATTACTTAACATCGTTAAGTCAGGACTTGTATTTATTAGGGTTGTCTTTAATACACCCCCCAGAATCACAGGGTTTGAGATGGAGACAGCCATATAAGTGCAAAACCAATTAAATACTACCTATATCTATATGCTATAGGTATCCTGGTAGCAGCACTTGCCTTGCATACCTCCAGATTTGATCACTGACATATTTCCTAAAGCCGTATTCCTTAGCTGGGTGCCCTCCTTCTATTCAGTGCACCGGGTTTCCTTTCAAATCCAGTAATAAAGCTACATTCCGTGGACCATCACCTAACTGTTGTACCAGTGAGGAAAGCAGGCTGTCTAAAGGTGGAGAAAAGATGACCATGTGCTCTTTGATTCTAGTTTGGAGACCTAGATCCTGGCAGCGTGGAATTCTTCCTTCAGGAGGAGCGGCTGAGTCAGATGAAGAAGAAATACGAACAGCAGTGCAGGGTAAGAATAAAATTCCTGCTGGAAGATAATAAAGTTTTTCCAAGGCCTATGTCTAGAGACTACAGTGAAGCACTTTTCTTTATGTCGTCTGCCTCCATAAAGAGAGCTGGAAAATCGTTTTATCAAAGTGAGTAGATTTAAAGGAGATTAAGTCCCATTACATGTCCCAGATATGAACTGACCAGCTTCGTTTCTTCCTCCCACTCACATCTACAGAGCTACTTCCCAAATGACAACACATAGCCAACCTTGCTTGAGCCCCCCCCCCCCCCCCCCCCCCCCCAATTAAAGAGTCAGACCTAGTTAGGATTTTAATGGCTGCCTCCAATGAATGCCTTGGGTTTTAGGATAGAGGAATTGAAGAAACAGCCTAAAAGAAGGCAATACTGTTACCAGGAAAAATTGTATGGGCATGGACCAAGCATCAAGAGACTCAGTTTGGCTCAAATTTAGACACTTCAAATAATGTCATAGAACTTGTCTATGAGATTCTCAGTCATCCAGGTCATGGTTGTACCAAAGGTGCTTTTTCAAGAGTCAACTGGACTTGTTTGTTTTTCTTTGAAGATGTTTCGCTTCTCATCCAAGAAGCTTCTTCAGTTCTGACTGGATGGTGGGGGATGGAAGGATTTATATTCCTTGCAGGTGACCAGCCGTCTGCAACGAATATAAATCCTTTCATTCCCTACTTTCCAGCCTCTAAAATATCCTCTTTCCAGAGTTGCATTTACTCTACCCTGTCATTATTTTAGCAATATATAAAGGGTAAGTTGTATTTTAATAACAATTGTTGTTTTAATATATACCTAGATTTTACCTGTTGTAAAAAGGTGAGATATAAAGAAATACATAAATACCTCACCCGTCATTAGCCATCCAAGAACAGAAGGTTCTTCATCCTGACCTGAAACTTACCCATGGGTTTTTCCAAAGCTGTTCATTTTATGTTGATCTCAAGACATGTCATTATAGCTATACGCTGTAGCTGAAAAGATGGCTCTAATACCTAGTCCCCAAATTGCTGTATTTCAAGAGAAGCCAGCGTTCAGTTCTTGCCTCTCATGCAAATACATGTGGATTTGCTGCTGTTCAATTCTCCCAGGCCATAAGAATATTGCTGTTCCAGTTGATTGTTCGGCTGGGTTGCTCCTGATGAGATTGCTTCTGGTTTTCAGGAACTTCAAGATCACATAGATGAGCTTCAGTCTCAGCTGGAAGAGTATCAGATACAAGGCAGAATTATCCGGCCTTCACTGCAAAACTCTCTCTATGACGAACTAAATGATGGTGGAATGCAAGGTAGTCAAGGTACAATATGTCCTACCTACTATATATTATGGGGGAGTTGGCATTATTTTGGGGGCAATCGAGTCGTCTTTCCATATTAGCTTCCATATTAGCTTTTACGTAGCTAATATGCAACAATGTACCAACACTTCAGAGAAAAGCTAAAGCAAGTGAGCAAACCTCTAAAAGTGTGAATCTGGGGAGGTCTCAGCAGTATATGCAAAAGAAGTTGGATTTAAGGATTAAGCAGATTAACTAATGAGGCTGCCAAGTGCCTTGACTGGTGCTGCTAAGGGCAGCCTTCTAATACATTGTAATGTTTTATATATTTACGTCAATGTGATCCATCATTGACTAGTTGTCCAAAAGGCTTTCATTTTTTTTGCTACCCTGTATTTTAGAGCTTGCTTCTGAAGACTGCAGCCGTCTAAACATGAGCATAGAAGCTGAAATAATTATTGAACAACTAAAGGATCAGCTGCACCAGGATATCTACAACTTGCAGCAGGAGCTTGAAAACACAGTAAGTTGTCCCCACTTTAGCATGAAGCTGAGATTGTCAGAGATTGTTACTACATTTGCCCAGGATATGTTTTGATTTAATTAAAATCTACTGTTTTCATAATTTTTAATCTTCTTTTGGACAATTAAATTTTTGGCTTTTGGGAGCTTCTAGTTGATTAGTGAACTAAGGAGTATCCAAATGAGTGAAAATAACTGCAGCTAAGACTGGACCAGTGAGTAGACATAACTTCTCCAAATAAGGAGAAGATGGGAGATAAAAATAGCACTTAGAGTTCTATACCACTTCATAGTGCTTTACAACCCTCTCTAAGCGGTTTACAGAGTTAGCATATTGCCCCCAACAATCTGGATCCTCATTTTACCCACCTCGGAAGGATGGAAAGCTGTGTCAACCTTCAGCTGGTGAGACTTGAACTGCCAAACTGCTGGCAGCTGGCAGTCAACAGAAATAGCCTGCTGTACTGCATTCTAACCACTGCGCCCCAATGGCTCACTTGTGCTCTGGATAGCTGCCACTCATAAAGAGGCTACAGCACAGTGGCTTGAGCACCAGAAGATAAAGGGAAACATGCTCTCAACTCCGATACTGAGTTTTCTAATCACTTTCTGCAACTGCCTATTCAACTACCTTAAGGAAATCTAGAGATTTTCAAAACAGTAAGCTTGAGAAGAAACCTGGTGTGTTTTCCTTCATTTTTGAATAAAAAAAAATCAGCTTAAGACCTTAAAAATTAGAAGTATACACAAACAGCTAAATTCAGAACTGATTTAAGAGAGTTATAAATAATTAAAGGGCCAGACAAACTTGGAATAATGGAAAATTAGACTTTTTGCTACAAGATTTTGGAAATAATTGTAGAAATGAACAGCACATTTGTGGGAACCAGCTTGTTTAGTCTAGCTTAAGTCAAAACAGCAACTTGAGACTTCATGATTTTAGAAACTGAACACTAGAGGGGACTAAAGATTCCAGGTGGAAAGTTGTGGGGGGAATGAAAAAGTGTCTCTCGTCAGCATTATAATAATGATAGAAAATGCTTTGATATTTGAAATGCTACAGCAAGTTTTTGAAGAGTGGAGTAAAAAAAATAGAAGCCTCAATCTCAGCAATGATGTATACATCTATGACTAGATTATGTCTTAAAAATATTAAGAAAGAAATTACTGAGGTAAAAGAGAAATTGTGGAAGATTTACAAGGTAAAGAGATGAAAGAAGGTTTGCCTGATGTAGAAATATGAGAATAGAAAACAAAAAGGACTAGAAAACAACTAAAGTGGAAGTACAAATGACAAACCAACAAATTGACCTAGATAAGAATGTTTATGTCTTGAAGAAATTTTCAAAATGGGAAAAAGAAAAATGAAAGAGATAGCAAATCCTATAATAGCATCTCAATGAACTAAAGATTAAGATAGTTAAAAGCAGAAGTTAGGACAAACTTAGATTGTTTGACCAAGGTTAAAGTAAGACATGTTTGTATAAATCTTTTATGGCATCCTTTATAGACTTTTTGCTAACACTAGAAATGAAATGTTAATGATTTGTGGTTTTATATATGGATTATGGGACAAAGTAATGTAATGTTTTGGGGGGTGAGATATTATTAATTTTGTGCTTGTAATCAGAAGCTTCAGAGAACTGATGATGGTTTCATGGATCACCAGATAAGACTGTTCTTTGCAGACCTCTATATTAAGCTTAAGAGTCATGGTGGCACAGTGATTAGAATGCAGTATTACAGGCTAATTCTGCCAACTGCCAGCAGTTCGATTTTCATCAGTTCAAGGTTGGCTCACCCTTCCATCCTTCCAATGTCGGTAAAATGAGGACCTAGATTCTTGGGGGCAATATGTTGACTCTGTAAACCACTTAGAGAGGGCTATAAAGCCCTAGGAAGTGGTATATAAGTCTAAGTGCTATTGCTATTAGAAGACTCAGCAGCAGAGAACGTATTATTGAAGACAGGCTGTTCATAAAGTAGCTCCTGGGAGGCAAAAGTATAGAGTTATTTCCTCCCCTCTTGGGCATCTTTGTCCCTGATGGACACAATCACTACAGAAGGAAACTCTGTATAGAGCAATTACAAAGGCTTATTGAATGAAAGTTTGAATACAGTTATCTCTAATAGATTTTCCAGTTCCAGTTTAGCTAATTAGAGATACACATCGATCAGTATGATTTTCCCAACTAAAATAAGAGGTTAGCGAAATTACAAATCAATAGTTACAAACAATTGTCATGTAGCTCCTTGATTTCAGAAAGATTTTCCAAGAAAAATAATGAGAGAAATAGCAGGCAAAACATACCAGGCAAAATAGTATGCTATAGAATGGAAATGCTTTGCATAGTACATGCAACCACTGCGTTTTTATTGTGTCACCTATTTTATACCTAAATGCTTTGGACTCTGACAAACTAGTGTTCATCAGCCTTGTCATGAACTATTGTTACAATTTAGAAAACAATTGGAGAGAGGCTCTGTCAAGTCTTAATTGTGGAAGTTCTTGTCTGAATATTGGTACTTCTATCCAACATCTTTGATGTTCTCCTGATACCTGGCACATTATTGTTCTAACATCCTGTTATATATCCATGAACCTATGCATTCAGATGACCTGTATGAGTTTTGTAAGACTATATATTCATCCTAATAGTTCATTGTCCATCATAGTCACTGACAGTGGTCAACTCTGTTCATGCTGAGGATTGTCTGGTTCCCTGGGTTTCTGTATCTCTAAGTATTCTTCTAATGGTAGCTGGCCTAAGAATTGGTTTATATAGTTTGTTGCACTAACAGCTTTCTGGCAGCAAATGAAAATTTGTGAGCCTTTTATAAAAGTTATGTTGGCTGGACATATTGAGAACTATATTCCTACACACCTGGAGGGTATCAGGTTGGGAATGTCTGCCTTTTTCGGGGTTGGGGAAGTCTTCCCTCTTTTAAAAAGATTTTAAAAGGTTATGAGTGGTGGAGGTCACATTCATTTTCAGTTATATCTGCTATTGAACCAAACTGTCTGGAATTGTTTATGCAATGCTTCTATTGAGTTATGCAGAAATACTAATCATAATCTTTCCCTTCACTTAGGTGTGCCATTATGAAAAGCAGCTTGAGGAGACCAAGGCCAACTATGAGGAGGGACAAGAGAACCTCCAAGAGAAGTACTGTCAGGAGAGACAAGTGTTAGAAGAACAAATTGGGTGTCTGCAAATCCAGATTTCTGAGCTTCAGGGACAATTGGAAAGCTTGAGGCAGGCCAACTCCCAGCAGAATGTCGAAGGGAACAGTCTTCAGATATGCATGGATGAGAAGGCTAGCCTTATAGAATGCCTGAAGATCGATCATGAGCGGGAGCTCCAAGCCAAACTGAAAGAGGCAGAAGAAAACTTTAGTCATGAAAAGGAAGACTTGATTCAGTCTAAAGCCTGGTTGGAAGAAAGAATGAGAACTTTAGCACAGGCCACCCAAGAAGAAAAAATTGAGCTAGAAAATGGGTTCCACGAGAAGTTGCAAAGATTGATGGAGAAGCACACCCTGGAAATGGAGCAGCTACAGCAAGAGCTACTAAGAGAGCATCAGCGAGAGCTCCAGGAACAAAAGTGAGTAACTTTTTTTTTTACAACAACATAGAATTTACCTTGAATTTCCCATTTTATCTTAGGAACCCTGACAACTGCAGTTCTGGGATAAGCATTGGGTAGCTTTAGATCTCTAATAGAAGCTAAATCATATCCTTGGTAATGAGTGAAATGCAAATTTTGTAACTACCCATTTCCTTCGCAGAGTGGCTCTGGGCAGTGCACAAATAAAATATCAAAAAACATAAAAAAATCAGTATAATTATCTTTCTAGAGTGTATAATTATATCTACATTGGTTACATGGATCTGGTTGCTTTGTATATTGTGGGGATGTGTAGAATTGTAGATACATCTACATATATATTGAATTATGATAAGGTATATTTTAAACAATTCATTCAATATACCATTATAACAAATCACTAGTTTTATACTAGTTTTGAAGTGTGTTTCCTGTCTTGAGCGATAATTTTTTGATTGTTTTTAAATGTGGCATTTCTACCTCCAAAAGCAAGCTTTGAATCTAAACCTATACAGCCTGCAATGATGAGAAGATCTTAGTGAGGTACCTTTTATTGTTCCAGCTTCTACTGACAAAATTGGTTGTGAACAATTGAATGACATTTTTCATCTTTGTGAAAGGAACTGTAGATCCCATCACGTGCAGCATATGTTAATATCTTAAAGGGAGTGCTAGTTTCTTTTAAATACTACTAATTATCCATTAATATTTTACCCGAGACTGAAAACCATACTCACACCAATATCCCTTGTTTGGACATTATTACTGTTACAGTTATTACAACTACTATTACATTCTAGTCACTGTCAACAATTAGATATTAGCTCAGAAGGCAGAACTTCTTAATAAAATAGGTTTTGAGACTGGCTGTATACACATGAAGGTATTAAAGATACATCAAATGTTTAGTAGTGGTACAATACTGCTTAGTTTGATCATGGACTTCATATGTTGGTGCCTCTGTCCAGTTTGATCTGCACGAATACAGTATCTCATGTGCTGTATACCGATTGTTTGCTCTGCCCTGTAAATGGCAGAAATCCTCAAGCAAGGGCGAATGGATCCAAATGATGAATATTTGTCAAGCCTTTGATGCCTCTAAATCTGTATCACACCCCCAGCATCCATCTTCTTTTCTTTGCAGAATGAAAGGAAAGTCTTAAGGCACCTTATAGTCAGTCATCTTATATGTAGACACTTGCCTTTGAAGAATAATTAGCAGCTGTAACTGGGCCAGAATGAACATCCTTGGCAGTTATAAGCACACCTTGGTATAATTCCAGGTGTAATTCCAGGTGTTGGCTATGATCTGTAAGACCCTCCATGGCATAGGGCCTGACTGAAGAACCACCTTTCTCCTACTGCTTCTGCCTGAATGGTAAAATCTTCCGAAGGGGTCATGTTCCAGGGGTCCATCTTTAAAACCATACCATCTGATGTGACTTCGGCAACATGCCTTCTCTGTTGCAGCACCTACCCTCTGGATCCTATCTGAAAATTGGGTTACTCCAATCCTTCTGTCCTTCAACAAGCCTTAAAAACCTGGATCTCATAAAGCACTTGATTAGGAGCATGTGCCTTGGGGAATCTTTATACATGTTTTGTTATTTTAGTCCCTATTTTATTGCTTTGTATTATTTTTATATTGTATTGAATGTGGGTTTTTTGTATTCCACCCGTAATTATTTTCAGGCGGGTTGGCCATTAATGTGAGCAAAGAATGAACCAAGAAATAAATTGTACAGACAATTTTGGCAATTGGATGGGACTCTTGGTCTTACAAATATCTAGAGCTTCAGGGTGCCCACCCTTGCTTTCTAGCATCTCTTGCTTCCAGTTTTACTGGTCCAATAAATCTGGCTCTTTTTGTGAGTCATAAATTGAGTACGGACTTCAACAATTCTAAGCATCAGTAATATATAAACATAATTTATATATAAATATAAACCTAATAAGGTAAAAATCTTCTTTTGGATTTTGTTAGGCTATTCAGGAGATCATTGTACTCTAAGCTGATAATCTGTTCATACAAAAGGTATTTTACCGTTTAAATGATAATTCATTATATTAAATATAGTATCCTGTATTAAGAAAATCTGTAGTTATTTTGCTAGATCATTATCCTTAACTTAACTCATGATTGAACATGAGCCCCTTTTTAAAAGGAAAAAGAAAAATAAGCAGGGGACCGGAATTAATCAGAACAGGATTTTTTTTTAAATTACCAGGCTAAAAATTACAGATGGCCATTGTTGCAATTTGCTGCTAAAACTGCATTCCAGATCTAAGACAACTAAAAACCAGTGCAGTAGGTGGTCTACAATCCTTTGTCCCTGAATGTGTAGAAATTTCAGTAATGTATTGTGTTGACCACATTTAGGATAAAAATGGAAAATGAGTATAATGGAAGAATATTTCAGAAAGAGGAATGGTTCACCGCTGAACAACAAACACTTGCAAGAAAGTATGAGGAAACCATAGACAAACTTGACGAGCAGCATCAACAAGAATTGCTTAAGCTCTCCAGGCTGCAGCTAGATGAGAAATCCCAATGGGAATCTGAAAAAAATGAAATTCTCCAGAAAGGCATTGAGGTCCAAGCAAAATGGAAAGAAAAGCTGGAGAAAGAGAAAGCAACCTCTTCATTACTGGAACAAGACAAGAAACGTCTAGAGACAAATTACAAGGAGCATGTGAACTTGTTGATCTTGGAGAACAAGCAACTTCAACAAGAGGTTCAGGACCTGAAAAAGCAAGAAAATGAATTGTGTGAGAAACTTCTGAAGATTCAATCCAGCCATGAGATGGAGCTAAGGAAAAGAGAAGAAATGCCAACATTAGAGGAAGAACAAAGGCAACTTAGCAAACAGCTTGGAAGACTAGAAACAGAATTTGCACATCAACAAGAAGAACAGAATTCTAAGACTTTGGATTATTTGAAGCAAGAGATGCCCAGCAGAGCAACAGAAGAAAAAAATGAATTGAGGTCAAAAAACTCAATGCTTGGAAATAAAACAGAAGATCTACAACAGGAATTGCAATGTCAGTCCAAACTGCAAAGCAATCTTGTTTCTTTAAACAAGGATGAAGAAGCAAAAGGAAGTGATTTTCTAGAATCTGTCCAACACCAGGACTCTGGAAAGGAGATAAATGTTCTTTCAAAACAAGAAATAGTTCAAGATCCAGGAGAAGAAAATAGTGTAGGAACTACCTCTCTGATGGATGACTCTTTGAAAGAACCAGAAAGAGAACCAACCCAATACCCTGGATTCATCCCATTAGTTCCGGAAACATTGGTCGGTGCTCAGCTCAAAAGTGTGACTGACAAAGACAGTCAAGTTGTAACAGAAGATGGGATGATAAAATTAGACAAGATTGCAATTCCAAACATGAAAAATGGAGGGACAACAGTTGAAGAAACCATGGAGACTTCACGTGTCTTGCAGAAGGCCTATGAAGAAATTCTGGCAGAGAATGAAGCCCTTAAGCTGAGACAGAATCAGCTTCTGGAGAGGATCGTTCTGCTGGAAACTGAATGCAATCAAGCAGCTCATGCTCGACAAGACATGGCTTCACAGGTTCAGAAGGAACTTGAGGAGATCCTTAAAACTATCCCCCAGCCACATGTGTTGCCATGTGGAAGTCATGAGAAGGAGGGAAGTTTGAATTGGGAAAAATTACCTACTGGCAATACAACAAAAAACCAAATGCTCTTTCCTGAAGCTTTGGATACTGATTTAAGTGTTGAGGAAATGAGTGCCTATTCTCTTTTATTTGAGGCAGATCATGGAGGAGAAGTTAGAACTGGCAAGGGAGACCTCCATGATGTAGTATCAGAATTCTGGGGTGTGGATATGGTGGAAGACGCAGACTCCAGAATAGGATCTAAAATTTTCCAATTCCCAGAAGAACTCAAACTGGAAAACCAGGCCCTAAAAACAGAGATAATTAAATTGCTAGAACGTAACAATAAATTGGAGGGATACATGCCAATATTTATAAGCCTACAATCCAGGCTAGATGAAACCAACCAAGACTGCTTCACACTTAAGGAGGAGAAAGAGCAACTGCTGCAGAAAGTGAAAGACCTGGAAAAGAAACAGGACCAGTTGGTGATGGTAAACACCAACCTGCAGACTTCCAAGCTGATTTTGCAAAGCCAGCTCGGCAAACTAGATGAGCTCATGCTGGCTCTGCAGCCCCAGAAGAGTGGACGGCTGGGCCGTTGTGATAATGTCACCAAAGATGCAGAAGTGGACAGGAAAGGGCTCCATGAGCTGAACAGAAAGCTCAAAGAGAAAATAGCAGTGCTCTTGAAGCAAAAAGGCGCCCATACACAGGAGAAAGAGAGTCTGAATGCTGTCCTTCACAATTTGCAGAGCACCTACAATGAGCAGCTTCAGAAGATTGAGTTTTTGAGGTAATGTGGAATCCTTCCATGGTCTAAATCCTGCCACTTGGCTCTGCTTTTTGAAACTAACTACCTAATACTTCACTGTCTACCTCGCATGACTTGGATTAACGTATAGATTAACTTTGCCTAGAAGACAAACACTCTGTGATTTCTAACATGAATTAATAACATTTCATAGATATTTGAATAATAAATAACCAAGCATAACTTTTATGGAGTATTAGAAAGCTGAATTGTTTAGATGGTAGGCTTATTAGGCGCTGTGCAAATTTCATGAAATAATCATTTTTGTGTACTGCTTAATTTAATGCTTTTATATATCCTCATTACAATGCTACCTTTTGTATCATTCCTCCTTTTCTTCCTCATCTTAATTCCTTGTTTCTAAATGATCATAATTCTGATTACTTAACTCTTAGCGCTTTTAACGTATTTTGTTTCAACATCATATCATTGTAGACATTTCCTATAAAACAGAACAAGTTACTCTGTTTGCTAACAATATAGTAAGAAACATCGTCACAGGTTGATGGCCTGCATCATAAAATAATATCAGGGCAGAATTTCCTTTAAGTTAAGAGCAGCTGATGAGTTCGTCGAGATTGATAATGGTGTTTTAGGCAATAATACGGGAGTGGTTTGCTATTGAATGTTTCAACTTCCCACTCTAGTCTACACATCTGGAATTTCCTAGTGGTCTCCCACTCAGCTACTAATAAAGCTTAGAAGCTTGGCTCTTTAAGGTCATCTAAGATTAACGAGATGAAGCTACCTGCTACAGGCATAAATGATATGCATTTCAATGAACTAATTCAGGCTGAAATAGTTCAAAGTATCTTGAGTATCCTAAAGACTATATTTTTGCATCACAGATGCGAGCATCTTAGAGAGGAAAATACTGCCAAGAAGAATGAGATTGCCTTATTAAATGAAAAAAGGAATCATCTCCACTATATAACTCAGGAGGCCTAATACAGGTAGTCCTCGACTTACAACAGTTCATTTAGCAACCTTTTGAAGTTACAATGGCATTGAAAAAAGTGGCTTATGACCATTGTTCACACTTATGACTATTGCAACATTCCCATTACATTTGGATGCTTGACAACTGGTTCATATTTGTGACAGATGCAATGTCCCAGAGTCATGTGATCACCTTTTGCACACTTCTCACAAGCAAAGTCAATGTGGTAGCCAGATTCACTTAACAGCTGTGTTACTAGCTTATCAACTGCAATGATTCACTTAACAAATGTGACAAGAAAAGACATGCAATGGAACAAAACTCAACAAATTTGTCACTTGGCAACATAAATTTGGGGCTCAATTGTGGTCATTAAGTCAAGGACTACCTGTATTTAAAACAATATTTCAGCTGTTTTGAGATGCTTTTATAGTTCCTGTTAATATTCACCCACATACGCAGGTACGTTGAATTTCACCTTCCAAAATATTTAGGCAGCCTGCCATTCAGCCCCAAAGTATACAGGTGGACCTACCTGGGAGAAAATTGCCATACTGTTGAATGTGATGGTTCTATGTACTGTGCATTTTTAGGCAAAAAACAGAGACCGTACTGAAGGAGAAAATGGCCCTGCAGAAGATAGCTGAAAGCTTGAAGAAGCAGGTAAGATTTTCTGCATTTAGGCAATCTTTTTTGACCCAAAAACCCTGAATTCAGATTGATTGTAAAATTGATTGTAATTTTATAGGTCCCTTCCCAGTTTTCATCCTCGTACTTGTAGTTTTACATTAATATTTTAATTTATTTTTACCTAAATTCTATCATGATATTTCATTTTTACTTCTATTTTAGAGTGACTGTTATATTATTAGTTTTATAGTAGTCTATGATGGAAATAAAACACAGAATTTGAATCAAGGGTGATTGAGAAAGGGGGTTAACTCTTAACTATAAAATTCACTGATGGCTAGTGCTAATATGATCAAATATTAACTTTACCTCCAGTCTAATATGCAGATTGGAACTTGGCTATTCCCTGGCTTTATGCTTACTCATCATAAGATAAGATTCACAATTTAAACCTCCTCTTTTCAAAGTGCACTTTATATATATATTTTTCTGGATAATATGTTTCTAAATAATTATTTAGCAATCAAAGTTACATTGCTGCCCATCTCACAGAGACTCTGGGCAGAAAGCAAGAATTAGCAAGAATAATAAATAAAAACAAAAAAATGTATTATATAAATTTAAGCCTTATTAAAAAAAACATAAAACATGAAAATAGAAACCACAAGAGAAAGAGAATAAAAGTAGCCACCTCAACAATGGAGCCATCTAAGCAGTTCACCTGGGAGCCCCAGACCTGACAATATGGCCAAGATTGGAGGGGTTTGGGGAATATCAAAATGGGGATGGAACTAGCGTAATTTCAGGGAGAAGAATATTCCATAAGGCAGTTGCCATGGCAGAGAAGGCACATCTTCTAAAGTCCATCAAATGAAGGTCCTTGGCTAATATTACCCACAACCTACTTTGCTGTACATACCCGCTGGGATAGGCTGATGTAATCAGGGAGAGGCAGTCCCCCTGATAACCCAGTCCATTGACATAAAGGGCTTGAAAGGTTAAAAGCAGCATTTTGATTTGGACCCTGAAGCAAACTGGTAACTAATGCAACTTGCAGAGTAGAGATGTAATGTATTGTTCTAGGAGCACACGTAGCTTTTTATATGCCAGCTTTTTACTGCATGAATCCTAGAGGTCAGGACCAAGAAAGGTATTGATATTTTGGTTGGGGAATTATGGAAAATAAAATTCTGCCCGCTGGGAGAATATTAGATTTGTGTTAAAGGGATAGTCAATAGTCTTCACTACTTACGATCAATGCTGGCTTTTTCAAGAGAGTAAAGTGTGGCCCAGTTCTCCTCATATCCTGAAACCAATTTCTGTTGACTGAAGAGTAACCTTCATTCCCTTCTCCACTAGAATTATTTTGCAGAAGGAAAAAGGCTTGAAAAGTATGGTTTCTTTTGTCCAAGGAAAGTTTTCTTACCATTAATTTTGGTTGGGTTCTTCTTTCCTAATCAGGTATCTGAACTGAAAGCCAGGAATCAGCAATTAGAATTGGAAAATGCTGAACTTGGCCATCGAAACTCTCCAAATCGAGCAGATGTACAAGATTCTAACCAACAGTTTATGAAAACATTTCGGCAAAAGGAAAATGAGGCTAGGAAATATATGTCAGAAGAATGGGAAAGAGAGAATTCCCAGCTCAAAGAAGAATTGGAGAACTCTATAATTCAGGTACAAGAGGCTACAATGAGTATTAGAACCAAAGTTGAATAGTAAGATGCCAGATTCAGATCTTAGTTTGACTTCCCTGATTGACCTCCCCCACTTCCTCTGAGAATAATACCTGCCACCATTATCACAATTGTCCTTATTTTTACTATTTCAATGTATAGTTTTTTATTCTTTTATATTAGTTTTATTGTTTTTATATGAGATTTCATATGAGGTTTTATATTCTGCAAGCCACCTTGAGTCGCCATGTGTGAATAGGTGGCAATATAAATTCCCCAAATAAATAAAATAAATAGGCTGCTTAATGAAAAAAAGAGACTCAATGTGACATAAAGAACAAAATAAAGCACATTTTAAAGAAAAAATAAATTTAAGTTTTATTTTAGCCAATTCTTAAGCTGCAAATTAACCAACCTTTGAGGCTTTCAAATTTAATTTAATTTTCTTCAATTGACTTCTAGTCCTCATCACTGGTCTCATCCCTGGAAACAGAGCTAGCTCAGCTCAGAATTCAGGTTCGTGGTCTGGAGCAGGAGAACCATTTCCTCAAAGAAGAACTGGAGAATGTAAAACAGGTAATGATGGGCAGAATGCCTTTCTTCCAAAAGGGAATGGATATCGGTTTCTGGGAACCAGTTGGTTTATGAAGGTCACTCCTGAGTTGTAGACAGTCTCCATTTAGCTGCAAACATTTCATAGACATTATTGAGAAGTTCTTCTTGAAAACAGTTTAAACATACTCATCTCAAAAATTAAAACAGAGATTTTTCCATAGCTACCCAGTTGCCTGGATCTCTCTGAACTGGAGAATGAGATTTCCAGTGTCATCATAAAAAATGAGAAGCTACTGAAAGAGAAAGAAGCCCTCAGTGAAGAGCTGAACCGGTACATAGAGAAGGTGAGGGCACAGAATAATATCCCATCCCAGTACACACTTTGTTTCAAGCTACACATACCAACACATTACTTTTGGTAGGGTGGTGCTCATAGCCAGCTTCCTTGGTCTTTTTTTTTTTTAGCCGTCTTTACTTTCTAAGATCAAAGATAATGCACAAAAAACCATGCCTCTTCATTATATGTAAGTTCAAATAGAAATTAGGGATAAGATGCAGTCCATTGCTTCAGCAGAAACTTATTCAGCCATCCAGAAAATAATGATAATATGAGGGAGCAAGAGAATGCCATAGAAGAGCCAGGAATGCTATCTGGATGAGTGGAGGCAATGGCAAGTTACCTTTTAGCACATGGTAACACCAAAACTGGTGAAATGTGCATTGAGACATCATAATGCAAGTTTCACCTCTTATCTATCTTTGTGCAACATCATGATGCAACTACAGAAGGGATGGAATTTACATCTTGATGCACATTTGGCCTCTCTTGGTTCCCTTTTGTAGACATCCATGCCTTAGTCTTTCTATTAAGATGTTGCAGAGCATTGATAGTTCAGCAATTCAAGGGGTTCACAAACATAATTACATCCAATTACTTTGGTATTGAGACTGCTTGAGCCAGTAGAAAAACTATTTAGGGTTAGGCACTGATGGTACATTTGCAGACTGCTAGGGTCTCGGTAGCTGTCCGTAGATACTAAAAGCAGTCCTGCCTGGACTTTACTATCCTTGCAGGCAACTAAAGTGGCTTTCCTAGAGAGCCTCACTGCTTCCTTGAGGGAGGAGAACTCATCTTTGGAGCACCAGAATCAGCATCTGAAAGCACAAATGGCAGTATCACAAGACAAGGTGTGTTATTATCCTGTTAAAACACTTATGATTCTAGACTGTTGATACATTTACCCACATGTTGATAAAAATGGCTTCTAGATGGCTTAGAGTTTAACAGTTAATTTGATTCTGTGCAGTTAAGTTGCAGCTATGATTTCTCTCCCACAAAAGCATTAGATTAACATAATATTTGTGGAGAAGAACAATATCATCATTACACCTTTAGTTCCGTTAGGTTTGCTTGCTTCCACAATAATCCAAGGTTTTTTTTCCATCTGCTCTTGCCTAAGCATTTATCCATGGATGTCTCTATCTGTCAACTAAAGATGAACTTTATTGAGCAATAAAATAACCTTCATAGTACTATATGTTCCTTTCATGATTAAAAAAAAAATCTGTTGAGTAGGTCATGCTGGCTGGTTCTGATTAATCTTTTCTTTCAGCTCCCACCTGTATTGAAAGAGTTTATTCTGCATTATCTTGATTGTTTCACTGTTTGAAAAATGTCTCAAGAACAAGAACTGTTTCTTATACACTTGGTTGCTGTAAAGGAGAGAAACAACTCATGTTTCTCTACCTTCAAGAACAGAAAGTGTCTTTGCTCTTATAAAAGGTTTTCTCATCTTGAAATACGTATTCTATACCTATAGTTTTTGATTGAGCAGGGAACAAGAGTGTGGAAAAAGCAGCTTGTCTTTGCTGGAATAACAATCTATTTCATGCCCCCAACTTTTTTTCTCTTTGGCCCTTTTAGATCCAGAATTTCGATGATATTATGCAAAATGTTAGCCTTCAGGTATCCAGGCTCAAATCAGACCTGAGGGTCACCCAGCAGGAAAAAGAGAATCTAAAACAGGAAGTGACATCATTGAATAAGCAACTGCAAATGGCCAACGAGAAGGTACACCCAGATGGGTCTGATTTCAACAGTTGCTGAGTCATCCTGATATTTATTTAAGGGAATTTTGGGCTGCTATTGCGAAGCAGAAGTCTTCCCACATCTTTAAATACAGGTGTTGACAGGTTTAAATAAATTGACATCCTTTCAAAATCCACCTTTTTATGCTGACCTTTCCTGCTGTTAATTAATTTATTTCTTTTTGATGAATTATCTTTGTTCTCTATTTTCTGTTTTATAAATATTACTAACTACTTCAGGATTGTTTGTGATGAAAAATGGCGCACGCACATACACAGTACCACTCTCTCTAAACCCATTGCAGGATTTAGGAAAATGACAATTTAATATTTGTTCAGTTACCATGAAACCAAAATAGCTGCATGAAATGGTTTATACAGAATGCCTCACACTAATTAAATATTCTAAACCAATTCATTCTTCAATTATTCACACAGCTGGATTGAAATCAAAATACTTTCATAGTTGTCTTTACCATTAGAGTAAATGAAAAATGTGGATTAGATAGTCCTTTCTAATTGGAAAAATATCTATTTAGTTTGGGTATACCCCATCTTTTCTCTTCAGACCCCAGGTGGTAAATGGAGATCTCCACTCATTTATTCCTCAGACAGAATTTGATGAGGTGGGTTAAATATCAGTGTTTCTCACATTTGGCAACTTTGAAGATGTATGGACTTCAACTCCCAGAAATGCACAGTCAGGGGAATGGAAATTGGGAGTTGAAGTCCATCTTCAAGTTATCAAGGTTGAGAAACCATTGGCTTAGACTGAGACAAAGTGATTAGCTTCTATTTTAAGGATTCCAAGCAGCTTTCTAAACTAAACAATAGTATGTGTGCTTTTTTTTTCAAATTAAGTTCTAGATACATGTCATAATTATCTTTTTCCAATGAATAGCAGTGTGAGAAATTGACTTCCACATTTCTTTCGTTCCATGAATATAAGCAGTTGTCAATCCTTGTCTTGAATGTTAAAATTATTTCATGTACTTGATAAATATTTGTTCATTTTTTTTAGCAATTACATGTATCCCATCTGGGTTTGATTGAATAGAAGACTTTCGAACTATTTCCATCCCATTCAAAATTCTTCACCATAAGTTCCAAATGAACTTGCTTGTTGTATTAACCTTTAATTGCAGTTCACTTTTGTTTGTCTTTCCAATAGTCCTATAAGGCAACCCTTTCTAATTCTTACCTTTTGGGGGGGAATGTAGCCAAGTTAAGAGGAAACGACTGGCTCATATGAGCCAAGGTAGAAAGTGGCTTTGAATCCAAGCCTCTGAGCAATTGATCTTCCTAGGTTGTATCATAAGTTTGACTCTGTCTGCTCGCTTTCTTGCTTCAGAGTCGGTTCCTGGAAGCAGCTGTGCATTCATCGGGGATACAGAACCAGCAGAAGAAGGTTTGTTGGGGTGAACTGGAGCTCATCAAGCAGGAGCAGCAGCTTCTGAGGCAGGAGAATGAGCAGCGGCAGAGGGAATTCCAGGGTGCCAAATCAGAGCTATCTCATTCTAGGGAAAAGGTGAATTGGAATAATTGTCAAGTGCTAATATGTTAGGCAGCTCACTATATTCCAAGGTCCAGAGGTGGTCTCTTGTTAGATATTTGAATGACCAAAAATTGCTGACGTTGGTCATTTCATCATTATAATTTCTACTGCTGAAACAAAGAAATTGGATAAAGAAGGTGGGAGGGATAGGAATTTTTTTTTGATTCTGATATTTAAAATGATTTACCATTTAAGTCTGATACTGTAGCTACCGTGTATCTCTTTGCACCAGGCTCTGCTTAGTGAGCTTAAATAAATGAGAAGAATAGATCCCCCAATATTGAATTACTATTCATTCCTGTATAAAATCATTCCTATTGCTATTTCATAAAGAGTATTAAACCTGGTGCCTGTTTTAATAAGTTACCATGAATCTGAGACTGATACAGAGCAATTAATACAATGATGTAGTGAATTTAACTCCTTTTCTGCATTCAAATGAATTCAAATGAATCTGCAGTGAGGAAAGTAAAATCACAATTGCTACTGTTGACCTTGGTTCATGGTGCATTCTGGAAGGTTTCCACTCTATCAGTAGAAGCAACATTATAGGGAGAAGAAGGAGGTCCCACATCATACACACATAATGTCTAGCAAGTGTGGGAAAATTTAATTTAATTTGGGAATCTTTTCTGTCTATGGCAGAGTTCTTCATCCTTTTGCATGGGCTGGGGGATGGTTCCGTGGGCAAGTCTCCCTTTGCACAAGTGGGGATGTGTCGCACATCCTCACCCACCCCTTCCCCGTCCTGGTTCCGAAAGGCTCAAGGTCTGGTAGTGGGCCGTGGCCGGGACTAGGGACTCCTGGTCTATGGAGATTCCCAATCATCCAGACCATGGTTGTCCCAGAGGTGCTTTTCAAAAGGCAATTGGACTTTCTTGTATTTTTTTTTTCTTAAAACGTTTTGCTTCTCATCTAAGAAACTTCTACATGTCTGATTGAATGGTAGGGAATAGAGGGATTTATATTCTGTTATGGTCTGTTGTCCAGTAAATCATTTGGTTTTATTAATAAGTCCCAGTGTATTCCTCTGTGTTTGAGAGGGAGGGAGGGAGGAAGAAAGGATATTTAAATGTAGATAGAATATATTTTCTCATCTTTGCTTGGAAGAGTTGAAACTAAATAAATTATGCCACTTTTCCCCCTCTAAAATAATACTAAAATCTTTGGGCTAGTCCAACATAGATTTTCAAAATGGCAGAACAATTAGCTGAACTTATTTTGATTTAGGAATTGACACTCAGCAAAGGAACAGAATTTTCTTGGTTATGAATGAGACTGACCTTGCAGTTTTCACCGATGTAGATTTTGCCATAAGAGATGTGAGCACAGCTGAAATCGGATTTCAATTCCAGTTGGTTTGTGGGTTTTATTGAGTGATTTTGAGCTAATTATACCCTTTAACTACACTGCTCAAAAAAAATAATAAAGGGAACACAAAAATAAGACATCCTAGATCTGAATGAATAAAATATTCTTATTAAATACTTTGTTCATTACATAGTTGAATGTGCTGACAAAATCACACAAAAATTATCAATGGAAATCAAATTTAGCAACCCATGGAGGTCTGGATTTGGAGTTGCACTCAAAATTAAAGTGGGAAAAAAACACTACAGGTTGATCCAACTTTGATGTAATGTCCTAAAAACAAGTCAAAATGAGGCTCAGTAGTGTGTGTGGCCTCCACGTGCCTCCCTACAACACCTGGGCATGCTCCTGATGAGGTGGCAGATGGTGTCCTGAGGGATCTCCTTCCACACCTAGACTAAAGCATCCCCAACTCCTGGATAGTCTGTGGTGCAACGTGGCGCTGGTGGATGGAGCGAGACATGATGTCCCAGATGTGCTCAATTGGATTCAGGTCTGGGGAACGGGCAGGCCAGTCCATAGCATCAATTCCTTCATCTTGCAGGAACTGCTGACACACTCCAGTCACATGAGGTCTAGCATTGTCTTGCATTAGGAGGAACCCAGGGCCAACCGCACCAGCATATGGTCTCACAAGGGGTCTGAGGATCTCATCTCGGTACCTAATGGCAGTCAAGCTACCTCTGGAGAGCACATGGAGGGCTGTGTGGCCCCCTAAAGAAATGCCAGCCCACACCATTATTGACCCACTGCCAAACCAGTCATGCTGGAGGATGTTGCAGGCAGCAGAACGTTCTCCATGGCATCTCCAGACCCTGTCATGTCTGTCACATGTGCTCAGTGTGAACCTGCTTTCATCTGTGCCAGTGGCAAATTTGCCAATCTTGGTGTTCCCTGGCAAATGCCAAACGTCCTGCACGGTGTTGGGCTGTGGACGTCAGGCCCTCATATCACCCAGTCTGTTTCTGACCGTTTGAGCAGCCACATGCACATTTGTGGCCCACTGGAGGTCATTTTGCAGGACTCTGGCAGTGCTCCTCCTGTCCCTCCGTGCACAAAGGTGGAGGTAGCGGTCCTGATGCTGGGTTGTTGCCCTCCTACGGCCTCCTCCACGTCTCCTGATGTACTGGCCTGTCTCCTGGTAGCGCCTTCATGCTCTGGACACTACGCTGACAGACACAGCAAACCTTGCCACAGCTCGCATTGATGTGCCATCCTGGATGAGCTGCACTACCTGAGCCACTTGTGTGGGTTGTAAACTCCGTCTCATGCTACCAGTAAAGTGACAGCACCGCCAGCATTCAAAAGTGACCAAACCATCAGCCAGAAAGCATAGGAACTGAGAAGTGATCTGTGGTCACCACCTGCAGAACCACTCCTTTATTGGGGATGTCTTGCTAACTACCTATGCTTTCCACCTGTTGTCTATTCCATTTGCACAACAGCATGTGAAATTGATTGTCAATCAGTGTTGCTACCTAAGTGGACAGTTTGATTTCATAGAAGTGTGATTGACTTGGAGTTACACTGTGTTGTTTAAGTGTTCCCTTTATTTTTTTGAGCAGTGTAGAATTAGGGCGGCATGGTGGCTCATCAGTTAAGACACTAGGCTTGTCATCTAGAAAGCCAGAAGCCCAGGTTCAAGACCTGAGTGCACATGACAGGGTAAGCTCCTGTCCTTGCCCCAGCTCCTGCCAACCTAGCAGTTCGAAAGCATGCAAATGCAAGTAGATAAATAGGTACCACTTCAGAGGGAAATTAACACTGTTCCATGCTGGCCACATGACCACAGAAATGTGTTTGGACAGTGCTGGCTCAGTGCCTTGAAACAGAGACAAGTACTGCCTCTATAGTCTGCAACAACTAGCAGAGTAAAATCTACAGGGACTTTTTTATATACTTTCTAAACCTTATTACCTCAGAGTGATTGGAATAATAAAATTCTAGAAGATCTTTAAGTCATGTTGAGTTTGGAAGGATATAAATGTAATAAATCAATATTTTTGTGGAAAAGGAAGCCACTGGCGAAGGAGAAATGGTGTTTGGAAAGTCAGGTTCAACATAAAATAGTTTCATTAAACTTAGTAGAGTCTGAGCTCAAATATTTTCAATTTTAAGCACAAAAAATATCTAAATTATCCCTCTGGGAACAGATATTTTACTGCTGAATTTTAATAGCACAAAAATTCAAGAAGCTTTGCTTTCAATCAGTTCTTAAATCAAACTTTTGTCTCCAACAATGGCACATTTTGTGATCCAAATGAATTCAGAAAAGAAACATGTTGCCCAATTTATTTTGGTTCTACCAGTTACTGTATGTAAGGCCAGCAGTCATCCAAGGTTTGGAAGTCCATCCAACCCACTGCTGCTCTGACCACTAGAACAGTGAAATATTGATTCAGCTCCCATCCACCCTTTGCTTCTGACATTTAATTGGACATTACTTCCCATGTTCAAACATTAGTCATAAGATATTGAAACCTGTTCTTACTTTTAACTCAAACCAGAACTCTTAAGAAGTGGAGTTCTGTGCATAGTAAATGTGCAGGACACACTTAGCCCAGCCTATATTCTCTTGAAGAGAATAGACTCAAAAGAGAAACTCCATTTACATGTCCTACCAGCAGCTCTTTTCTGTTTCTCTGAAAAAGTTCTTATCTTTTTGTATTTTATTACTCTTTTTCTGTGCAAGTTTCATTTGGCCCTTTGATTCCCATAATTGTTTCTCCTTCTTGTGTTTTTTCTTCTTCTTCCTTTCTGGCTAACCTATGCCTAGACCTTGGTGGCTGGAACTAGCAGAGACGAATGCAGTGCTCTGCCTGACTTAACGTGTGAAGGTAGAACCAACTCTTTTCTTCTGTAATCCCACTGCATGGAGAGAAAAGAAATGACATTACCTAGTACCTGCCATCTCATCTTTCCTTTCATTTGTTACCGACTTGGTCCTGAACATTAAGGCAGTAACCTGTCTCATTTGAAGGAGCTACTCTTCATTTTAATGGAAGTATTAATGGTCTTGTTCAAGCATCATAGGAATAATAGGCAAATAATTTCTCTAGTTTCAGGAAGAAAGAGAAAAGGCTTATCTTTAAAATCTGCACTTTCCAAGAATATGAGACAGGATGCTTAATACAAAACTGAACTTCAGAAAAAAAAATGAAAAGTGGCTCTGAGATTCCATTTTCTTCCCCCCGCCCCCTATTTTTTGTTAATTGTTGGATGGATTGTTTATTTCGTGAGATAACTGGAGTTGCTTTTCCTTCCATGGTTTTCCAATTGCATGCCCTTAGAGGAATGGTGAGATTGACATTTGCATGGCCAGATTTACTGATCTTTGATGATCTCCAAACTATGCAATTTCCCCAATGTTTCTTTACTTTGTAGAGCCAAGTAAGCCATGTGCTCAGGGAAAATGCTCTTTGTAAGCTAACTGTGATTACAAAATCTTTCTCCAATTTGTATTACATTTTGAGCTCCAGCTAAATTTCCCATGAACATTGTGCTGATGTTGATTATGGTGGTTGATAGCTTGTATGGTTTCCCACAAAGTTCAGAGCATGTGAACTGGATGTGCATGCAAGAGAACAGCTGCACATGCCCTTTCCACTTCATTAGTCCTCTATTCTACCATAACCAAAAAAACATATAAAAGATGGTTTATATAATTCAGGTAAGAAGTACTTGTAGATGATTTTTCCCAAAGGAACAATTACAGAACCTTCATGATGAAACACAGTACAAATGCCTTCCTTCTCTGATGCTTCATATTTGAATTTCAACAAATATTGATTTGTATTATTTTTCTGTAATAGTTTTAATGTAATCTCAACCAACCTGGTAATTTCCAAATGTGTTGGAATACAACACTTAAAGACTGTGAATTTTGTCTGGGAATTCTGAAAGTTGCAGCTGAACCAAAGAGCATCATATTAGTTATACAAAATTATATAAAACTGTGTCATAAGCTGGTTCTGATATTTCAGGATAAAAGCTAGTGAAATATTCTAGCAAATAAATAACATATCAAAAGCTTTCTCACATTGTTCAAAATCTTAATATAGTAATTCACTACCACTTTAAAAGCTATTTTCATTATATTGCTGTATTGCCTTACAACTGCAGCTCCCTATAGAGCTCACAGCGTAAAAGGATTACTTTTGAGTTTGTAATTAGCACATTGTATGGTTTTATAATGAGAAAAATCTCCAACTAGAACTGCAGTTAATGTAATCCTTGACTATTCTCTTCAGAAGGCCTGCTGAGTTTAATACTATTCATTCCAAGGTAAAGATATATTCAATTGCAGTCTAATCTGGGGAGTAAAGATGGGGAGGTGAATTCTTAATAACATTTGGCAGTCAACTGCTTTTAGTCTTGGTGATGTCTGAGTTGATGTCATAACACAGAACTGGAAAGGTGTTTTTGTTTCCTTATCAATTTACTGTGTATGTCTTCAACATAAATTTATTTCCTCAGCTCAAAAAATGAGAAGAAGTTACTAAAATAATAAAAAACGTTACACATTCTATTTATATTAAAATAAAGCTTTAGGAATATGTGGTGCTTCAGATCCAGAGCCAACAATGTTCTTAGCAGGGATATGGATGCGCAACACCAGCTCTATTGGTGCCTCCCAAAGACTGATTGTATGCCATTAAGTGTTAAGTCAGTAAGCCTTCCTTGGAATGATCTGCCCCAACAGGTCTCCCAGCAGTGCAGCCATTGTCTCTGTCCTTTCCTACTCCTCTTGTCTTTCCTTTTACTATTCCCAGCATTGTGAACATCTCAAGGAATTCCTTAAGGAAGCAACACTTTTTCTTGAGCTAGCTTTGTGAATCTGGGAGAAAATGTATCGAAGTTCAAGAGACACCAAATATGTGTCCATACCACTTCAAAATGCCTTTTTGGCCTCAGCTCCAAATTGTGGCACTATCTTATGAAGCACGAATGTAACAGAAAACCTTCACTATTCCTAAAAATATATTTAAAAAGAAAAAAGAAAAGTACTTTACTCCTGTCAAAGGCCATATTCTCTCTCTCTCTTTTTTTTTTTTTGCAATCTACAGGTCCATGAAGCAAAAATTGTACAGGGAGACCCATGTTTCTGTTTTAATTCTGAGGTTCTTCCAAAGAGGTGCACTTCTCCTAAAGAGAGATTTTCCTAATTAAACACTAAACTTCTTCAGCTAAAATTCCATCATCCCCAGACAACTTGACAGATACCCTCTGGCACTGATGGCAACTCTAGTACAATACTTCTGGAAGGGATCTGATTGGATAAAGTGCCTTAAAGTAGCAACCTAATCTGGGAGGAGGAGAGGGAGGGGACTAGTATATGGAACAATATGTTGCAAAGTGTTGTGCTGGTGCTGTATTTAAATAGAGGGGAAAGAGGGGCACAAGCCCATATGCAATATGATATCTCTCCATACCAGCAAGCTTTTGCTTTTTCTTTCTCACAACTCCATTCCTCCTTTATTCTGGAGCATGGCAGGAGTGGTTGAGGGTTGTTGTTTTTTTGCCTAGATCCCAGATGAGAAGCCTTTCCTCCCCCTCCTCCCTCCTCCTTTTCTCTCCCTCGCCTTCATTGACTCCTTTGCCAAAAACAAAATCTTACTGCATGTGCTGTGACAGTGTGCAGCAGATTTGTATGATTTAAATTTGCACACACAATCTAAAGGGAACATTAGACCAGTTACTGTGAGTCCACTTTTGCATTCTTCCTGACTGATCTTGATGCTCAGATGGTCTAAACTGCAAAGCATCTCTTTTATATTTTCCTACCCATCTTCTCTGATACAGCTGCTTCACTCAAACTCCAGCATGATGCTTAGCCCACCCCAGCACCCTCGAGAACTTCAGGAGATCCAGCAACAAGGATGTCCTGTTGTCCCATCTGAACAATACCAGCAGCTCCAGCACCAGTTCCTTCAGGCAGAGAGGAGGTGTCAACGCCTGCAGGAGGAGCTTGAGAATCGGCCCTTGGAAACAAACATGCCCCAGGTATGTTACAATCTGTTTCTTCTTCACTAAATGTAGATTAGTCATCTACCACTTCACTTTTTCTTCATTATGTCCCTTTCTCTGTTTATGCCAGTTTCAAATTTCTAGTGCAACAGATATAATCTTTCTATATATTGCGTCAAAGCATGCTTTCTTTGAACAAATGGCTATCTCAGCTAGGAGACTTCTGGGGAAGGGAAACATGCCACTTACAATGCATCTTATTCTATTGGTTGACAGTCATGCCCTCAAAAAAAATATCCTAGTACCAGGTTTGAATTTACCTCTGTAGTTTCATCTCATTGGTTCTTGTCCTACCATCAGTGACAGAGATCATGCCCACACCTTTCTTTATATGAATATCTGAAGACTCCTACCATATCTCCTTTGAGTGTATTCTGTTGCAAGCTAAACATATCCCGTTCTTTTCAACATTCTTTGAAGGACTGGCCATCTTAGTATCACCCTTTTGAACAAGCTAGTTTGTAATTCCTAGAAGTGAACATAGTAAGATACCAGTTTTAACAGCGAAATTTTTCATTGGATTACCTGTACAGCACAATTCAGTAGCAATCTAAGCTGCTGGTGTTTCTCAGTTGAATATGGAAATAGTTTAATATGAGGACAATCTGCATAAGATAACTTTTCATTTTGTAAAGTATCTGTGCATCAAAATGATTACACCTTTTATAATGAAAAATTCCAACAATCTATAGCCATTTAGACATTGGATTCCAATTCTAATCTGACCCCAGAAAGCCTGTCAGTTACTCAAGATGCATGAGAATTATTCTTTAGTAACATTTATACGGTTTCTCTCTCACATCCAGTTCTAGAAAATGGGCTGGGCTTCCTTGTATTCTGCTTATTGTGCCATTTAGTTATAAAAATATAAAAATGCTAGCAATCTGACATACTTGTACCACTACTAATCCGTGGCTTAAAATTAAGCATAGAAAAAATGTAATAATAGAAATGTAGGATCCAACAATAATTCTGATTTATGGTAACACCACCCTTTTTTAGCTTCTCCGTATTAAATACTAAAAGATAGGATAAGGGCTTTTTGCTTAACATATAGCTGACACTGACATATTTAATTATATCTGAGATTTATGCTGCATTTTCCTCCTCCTCCTCCTCCCTTTCTCTGCCTGTTTCCATCTTTTGAATAGACCATTATGACTATTATATCTAAAATAAGATACTTTGGTTAACTTTTTCTTCTAAAACTTAACTAAAAAGCAAGATTTGAATGGGTTTCTAGTTTTGCAGTGTGGGCAAACTACAACGTGTAAATTATCAGTGTGATCAGTTTGGATGTAACAATAAATGACAGCTGACTTAAATAAGGAATGGGGTGATCATGCAAAGAAAGGAAGAGATGTATTAGTTTGAGGCTTAGAATTGGCAATGAACTTCACCCCAACGTCAGAAAATAAGAGTCATTGGCTGTATGGTGCTTGCTCTTTTTACAGAGCTATTGCTCTTTAAAGAACTACTGTCTGTCATGCATGACCTATGTGGGTATGTGTGATTTCCTTGTTTTTACAATGGGCAGTAAGAATAACTTGGAGGAACAAAAGGAAGAGCCAGCAACCAAGACAATGGTCAGATAAAAGAAATGTGAGCTCAAAGTAGACATGTAATTTGAGAAAACAATTCAGCCTTTAACCAACCCACCCACCCACCCCAAAAAAGTTATCTTATGGATAAAAGTAGGGAGTGGGGAGGTGCTTTCAAACTTGTAAGAGGCTGCTAAGGCAACCCTATAATAAAAGTAGTAGAATTCATAACTTTTGTTACCTAGTCTGGTCTTACTTAAAGGATAACATCCATCTTAGTCACAAAAAAATTAGGGAGGGTCAAGTTTGACATATTTTTTCAAACTACATTTCTGCTTTGGACTCAATTTCTTTTATCTGACAGCAAAAGCACTTAGACTTATATATCATTTCGTAGTGTTTTACAGCCCTCTAAGCAGTTTACAGAGTCAGCATATTGCCCCCACAATCTGGGTCCTCATTTTACTAACCTCGGAAGGATAGAAGGCTGAGTAAACCTTGAGCTGGTGAGAATTGAACTGCTGGCAGTTGTCAAGAGTTAGCCTGCAATTCTGCATTCTAACCACTGTGCCATCATGGCTCTTCTGATCACAGTTTGGCTCCTGTTCCTCAAAGTTAATCTCACAGCCCCTTTGCAGTTCTTGTGTTTGTCTGTCTTGATGTGATGTTTAAATGGCACTTAGTGTTCGTGCTGCTTAAGTGTGATCTGCTGTTTTCAAAGGCCTGCGGGTCAAGTGTGTCCTCCTTGCCTTCTTTCCCCAGGCTTTGCTTCCGGAGCAACGATCATTGCATGCAGATACGTACAGGCGGATTGGTCATCTCTGACACCCCTTGGCTTCTAACGCACCGCATTCCTTACACTAACTGGCATAAGCTGAGAAACCCAGGGATCAAATCGCATTTGTTAATTTAAAATCATCTTTAAAAAAAAATGGTCTTGTATTTTCCCCCATCCTTTATTTATTTGTGTCAGAATCTATTTTTATGAGGGGGAATGGGGAGAGAAAGAATTACATCTTTTTTATTTTAAATGTTTTTAATTTTGTTATGTCAATTTCATTATTTATGCTATTTAAAACTGGCTTAACCAGAGGAGTTTGGAAAGAGAAAAACTTATTTTGCCCCCATCAATTGTATACTGTAAGTATTTTTAAACAAAATGGTACTAAACTTTTTATATATTGGATTTGGAGAAGAAATTTTGGGTTATTTATACAAAATTTTGTACAAGATGTATAAATACTTTTTAAACAAGGAAAGAACAAAACTTTGGGACTTGTAACTGGATAAATAAAATACGCATTTTTAAATATCTCCTTGTCTTTTTGTCTTACTAATTAATAGGTTTTTGGATGCATTCCTTGATAAAGCTGGAGTATTTATTAGGTTGAGTCATTTTGCCATGGAAGTTCAATTAAGGCAATATTTTCTTCCCTTGGCAACTTCCAGATATGCCTATTTTAGTTCCCAGAATTCTTAGTAATAAGAATTTCTGAGAGACAAAGTCACACTTCAGAGAACTGCCAAGTCTGGAAAACACTGAATTAAGGCAAAACCATAGTTCAGTGATAGAATACATGTTCTATATGCAGAAAGTCCCATTTTTATCTAGCATCTGTAGTTATGAGTAGAATACTCCAGTCTGAAACCCTGGTTGCAATTAGTTTCAACAATGCTAATGCCTATCTATCTACCTATTTATCTATCTATCATGTAGCAAGCTAGCTAAAACTATTTAAAAACAATCTGCAAGAAAAATGCACTCAAGTTTCCCAAGCAATACAACCATTTTGTAGGCTGCATAACCATGTTACCAGATCCCAGATGACAAAACCATGATTTTAGTCCCTTAAAGAAGGTGAAGTAAATCTGACATTGGAGAGAATGATACTGCAAAGAAAAGACAGCAGAAAAGATTCTCCTCCTGGGTCCCATCAGATGACCTTGGGTGGAATCTGCCACATGGCCTTCCTGCCATACCTGATGTGATGGATAGATGTGATTGGGGAGAGGTGGTCTCTCAAATAACTATCTTCTCAATAAAACCTTCAAATAAAGAACCAACCCATGGTCTCTGATTCAGCTGGAGGAACTGTATTTTTGAGGATAAATCCAAGGGTAACAAAGCAGCTAGGCTAAAAGATTGTAATTTTTAATTCAATACCAGTAATAGGAATGAAATAAAGATCTGTAATCATTAAACTTTATTTATGGCAGAATTGGATTGTATCCTAGTAAAATATGACAATAATAAAATCTTAGAAAAGCCTAATAATTTGAGATATTCATATGAGACAGCTATCAATCTGTTATAGGCAAATTTATTAATGACAACAAATTATTCCCAGTTACAATAACAAATGATAGCAAAATAATTCAAATGAATCTCCTCATAATGAATAAACACTGAAATTTAATTACAAAATTTAGAAAATTGGGGCACAAATCCTATCCACTCACCCATTTACGTACACAAATATATAATATATAGCAAGGAAAAGAAATTATGGGATGAATATGGATTGTTGAATTAAAACATTGATTCTTGGTGTTTACACAAAGGGTAAATACTTTTTAGGATATGCTGGAAGAGCATCTGAAAAAGAACTTACGTTTTGACATCCATACATTTTTAGAATGTCTGTACAAAATCTGGGGTGTGATTTCACTTGTGAGTGGAGAGCTGCCACATCTCACCAAATATTTCTGGAAAGGATGCAGAAAGACTAACCAAAATGATCAAAAGTATTAATTAAATCAACATTATTAATAGAACAAGAGACACTAATTTGGACATCTTTAAAAGAGAATTGAGAAGAGTTTGATGTAGTGGTTAAGGCTAGAAACCTGGAGACAGAGTTGTTGTCTTGCCTTAGGCACAAAACTACTTAGGCTGGTCACTTACTTTCAGCTTTGTGCCTAAGCTTTTAGATAAATAGTTTTAGGTGAGCTTGACTTTTTTTTTTAGTTTATGCTGGAAATAATTGCTGATCCAGTTCATCACCAGAATTTATGTTCTGTTTTATTTCTATGTTTTGTTTGATAAAAATGGAAGAGTCTGCCAACTTAGTTTGGAATCAATTAAATGGCTATCAATTAAATGATTTTTTTTATCAAATGATGCACTTTTGATGAAAAAAGTTGTTCAAATGATCTAATAGCCTCTGTGAGTGCTAATTCCTTTGTGAGGTCTGGGGGCTATCTCATGACTACACCTACTGCCAAGAAAGGAACTATGTTCACACAATATGGCTAAGTAAAACATAGTTGAGATTCAACCAATTGTGACCTATTGAATATATAAACTAACCACAATAGCTGGCTTTATATAATATGCTAAATTAAAATGAGGTAAGCTAGTTTGGTTCTAAAGTATTGTGTGAATGCAGCACAAGACCCCAAACTGCTACTTGAAATAAATTCCCTTCCAATTCTGCTAAAGCTTTTCACTTCAATGTTGCTATTAGAAAAGTGTTCAATTTCACATGACACACTGGACACCCTTCCAGCCAACACAACTCTTAAATCAATGAAAGAAGAGTGTTGCTTTAAGTAGAAAGTTGAAGGATTTACTATCAATCAGATGGAAATTGTTCAGCCCATCTAAAAACAGTACAGCTGCTTCCGCTCCCCCAGTTTCTGCAAAGGTTTTGAAGGGTATGGTATCCATATAATTAAGATGACCCTTGGATATGTTTTCACAACACATTTGATATGAATAGTGAACACTGAACTCTGATTTCACAAAATACTTCAACTTGACCAAAGCAGGATGGGTTTGCACAATAACCTAAACTATAAAAAAAAACCCTGAAACTTAACTCTTCTCCAAATTTAATATACTGTGCATATATTTTTATTATATCTGGACCTGATTCCTTGTGAGTTTTTAATTGCTAGGAACTGACAATTAACACACACCCTACATTTGTAGAACCGGTGTAGTTTTGGCAGCACCTATTTATGGTTGCTCCTGGAAAGCTAAGCAATGTTAGATTTAATACTACTTGGATGAGAGGCTACCAGGAAATATAAAGCCACAATCTTAACTATGAAGTCAGGAAAACACAGCAGCAAACCACCCATATACTGTTGACAAGAAAACTTTAAATCACCAGAGTCAAGCTCGATTTAGACACTTTAGCTCTGGATACCATTTAGAGGCAAGATAGACAACTGGGAATAGCTACCACTTTCAACTCTGAGAGGGCACCATGGCTTAAGAGATTTCATCTATTATCCACCTACCATACTACTGATTCACTGAGGTGGTAATGAAGTAGACTTTGGGATGACCCAATTGGGCTTTTAAACTTTTTTAGTTTCAGCTTCAGATTCTCAACATCTCTTCAGATGATTCCATTACCCACTCAAAAGTAGAGCATGCGCATGGTACATCCTGGAAAAATGATAGCATAAATAACATATGGTCTGTTTCCTAGGATGATTTGATTGCTTATTGTACCCTATGACTGTTATTAAGTGTTGTACCTTATGATTCTTGACTCTCAACTAATGTATCGTTTCTTTTATGTATACAGAGAGCATTTGCACCAAGACAAATTCCTTGTGTGTCCAATCACACTTGGCCAATAAAAAGAATTCTATTCTATTCTATTCTATTCTATTCCTATTCTAATTCTATTCCATCCCATCCCATCCCATCCTATAAAGGACTATTTGTAAAGCCTTCACATTCAGTTCGATGGAAAACCCTTCTGCTCAGTTTTGTGCGGTTTCCCTGTGTGCATGGATCATGTCCATCTTGAAAGAGGCTGGAATGTGCCCATTCTTTTAAACACTTTTCTTGGATCTGAATATATTTGATAAATACAGGATTGCAACATTCCTGTTATGGGGAAAGCTACATCAATGCAGTGATTGCTACCATCTGCTTACTTTCATTTAAACATTGCTTTTAGTAGATTTTTATATGTATTGTATTTATATTCTCTATATAGGGTTTTTCCCCATTAATATTATATTATGGACATTTTAATACACAATGATCTTGTCAGCTGCCAAGAGCTTTTTGATTGTATCAAATTTACTAAACAACTAAGCAAATCTGAAATAGAGAATCACATGTACATAAAAAGTCTATGTCTTTGGATGCAGTTTATTGCTTGCTTTGCTTTCATGATATCATTTTTATCTGTACAAATAACCCACTATTTCTCAGACTTTTGCTTTCATTTTTTTTCTTCCCTGTAAAGCTTATGTTGAACAGCCAATCACAAAGATCTTCAAAGTATTGTAATTGATTTCATGCACACATGCTCCATTACAGGGTGGATATGAGCAGCTACTACAGACTATGGAGAAACGCATGATGGATGTTGAGCAACAATTGAGGCTTGTGAAACAGCTTCTCCAAGATAAAGTCAATCAGCTGAAAGAACAGGTGAGAATTCTAAGTCGTTTCTAAGTCAATGTGGCCATGATCCACAGCTGATACTTGAGGATTCCTTGCACAAGGTTTGAGGTAATATTACAATCTAAGGCTGGATTCACACTAAACCATCTGATTTGGCAATGTGTTGTTTGAAACCAGCTGGCACTATTTGAAAATCAATTTATACCCAAGCATACAGATGCATATTGTTCCAGACAGATTCTGAAACCTCAAAGCTCTCTTCCCTAGAGTTTCCAAAATTGTTATTTGAATCAGTAATTTGAATCAAGCAAAACACATTTAAACTAAACAAAATCAAATGTCCTGGCTTTGTCCTGGCTCCATTCACCACTCTTTGCAGTATAGTGACCACATATGCTAATCAGATGATCAAATCTAGTCCTTGGGCTCAACAAAGTAATGCATCCTTATCTTAACATGATTTGAAAAAAGCAGGCAGTGGTTTAGATAATAAACTAGCATTATGCAAACCATGGCTTACTATATTGTATCACTGCAGAATGAGACTTAAGGGTTGATGTCAAAATACTTCATCCCAGTCCTATATAGATATAAATATGCTTCATAGTGGGTGAATCCCAAATACTTTATTCTAATTATGCTGAATGATCAATTGTCCGCAATTTATTATAGATGGCACACACTTGTATCAACACGTGTTAGACATGACATTATGGGGAGAAAATAGTAGCTAAAGCATTATTGTTATTTACACATAAACCATCCAATATTTTTGACTGGATTTGATACTTTTGACTATTGGATCCCTCCCAAGGCTCTAGGACAGTTAAAATATCATGATAATGAATTTTATGTATTTATTTTATTAGCATGCCATAAAACATATTTAACATGTTTTCCCCCTATTTTCCTCACAATAACAATTCTGTAAGATGAGTTGGGCTGAATGAAAATGACTGGCCCACGGTCACTTAGATGGCTTTTATGGCTAAGTTGGAATTAGAATTCATGGTCTCCCAGTTTCTAGCCTGGTCCTAACCACTAGACATAACTATTTAAATTAATGCAACTGTTTAAAACTGGTAAGTTCAGATTTTACCCATTCCCACTGTATCAAAATGCTTTTCAGATATTTTGGTATTATTTACCATTTGTCTACTAAACATACACTGCTCAAAAAAAATAAAGGGAACACAAAATAAGACATCCTAGATTTGAATGAATAAAATATTCTTATTAAATACTTTGTTCATTACATAGTTGAATGTGCTGACAACAAAACCACACAAAAATTATCAATGGAAATCACATTTAGCAACCCATGGAAGTCTGAATTTGCAGCTACACTCAAAATTAAAGTGGGAAAAAAACACTACAGTCTGATCCAACTTTGATGTAATGTCCTTAAAACAAGTCAAAATGAGGCTCAGTAGTGTGTGTGGCCTCCACGTGCCTCCCTACAACACCTGGGCATGCTCCTGATGAGGTGGCGGATGGTGTCCTGAGGGATCTCCTTCCACACCTGGACTAAAGCATCCCCAACTCCTGAATAGTCTGTGGTGCAACGTGGCGCTGGTGGATGGAGCGAGACATGATGTCCCAGATGTGCTCAATTGGATTTAGGTCTGGGGAATGGGCGGGCCAGTCCATAGCCTCAATGCTTTTGTCTTGCAGGAACTGCTGACACACTCCAGCCACATGAGGTCTAGCACTGTCTTGCATTAGGAGGAACCCAGGGCCAACCGCACCAGCATATGGTCTCACAAGGGGTCTGAGGATCTCATCTCGGTACCTAAGGGCAGTCAGGCTACCTCTGGAGAGCACATGGAGGGCTGTGTGGCCCCCTAAAGAAATGCCACCCCACACCATTACTGACCCATTGCCAAACCGGTCATGCTGGAGGATGTTGCAGGCAGCAGAATGTTCTCCACGGCGTCTCCAGACCCTGTCATGTCTGTCACATGTGCTCAGTGTGAACCTGCTTTCATCTGTGAAGAGCACAGGGCGCCAGTGGCGAATTTGCCAATCTTGGTGTTCCCTGGCAAATGCCAAACGTCCTGCACGGTGTTGGGCTGTAAGCACAACCCCCACCTGTGGACGTCGGACCCTCATACCATCCAGAGTCTGTTTCTGACCGTTTGAGCAGCCACATGCACATTTGTGGCCCACTGGAGGTCATTTTGCAGGACTCTGGCAGTGCTCCTCCTGTCCCTCCATGCACAAAGGTGGAGGTAGAGGTCCTGGTGCTGGGTTGTTGCCCTCCTACGGCCTCCTCCACGTCTCCTGATGTACTGGCCTGTCTCCTGGTAGCACCTCCATGCTCTGAACACTACGCTGACAGACACAGCAAACCTTGCCACAGCTCGCATTGATGTGCCATGCTGGATGAGCTGCACTACCTGAGCCACTTGTGTGGGTTGTAGACTCCGTCTCATGCTACCAGTAGAGTGACAGCACCACCAGCATTCAAAAGTGACCAAACCATCAGCCAGAAAGCATAGGAACTGAGAAGTGATCTGTGGTCACCACCTGCAGAACCATTCCTGTATTGGGGATGTCTTGCTAACTGGCCTGTGCTTTCCACCTGTTGTCTATTCCATTTGTACAACAGCATGTGAAATTGTCAGTGTTGCTGCCTAAGTGGACAGTTTGATTTCACAGAAGTGTGATTGACTTGGAGTTACATTGTGTTGTTTAAGCGTTCCCTTTATTTTTTTGAGCAATGTTTTTAGACAATATACAAAAGGATGACTACAATATAGACCCTTTACAACAGAGGTGTCAAACTCATGACGGCTCGTCATGTGACATGTGGCAACTTTTCCCCCTTCGCTAAACCGGTGGTGGGTGTGGCCAGCATGTGATGCATCCAACCTGTGAGCCATGAGTTTGATACTCCTGCATTATAGAGGCAGCTTAGCAATAGCAATAACACTTAGACTTATATACTGCTTTACAATGCTTTACAGCCCTCTCTAAGCAGTTTACAGAGTCAGCATATTACTCCAACAATTTGGGTCCCCATTTTACCCACCTCAGAAGGATGGAAAGCTGAGTCAACCTTGAGCCTGGTGAGATATGAACTGCCAAATTGCAGGTAGCCGACAGTTAGCAGAAGTAGCCTGCTGTACTGCATTCTAACCACTGCACCACTGAGGCTCAAAAATAATACTGAATTTAGCCACAACTGGAAAGTGCATGATTTGTTTCTTTGTTTTGTCCTCCATGTGGAAAAAATGCACCTTTTCTTAACTACGTTTCAGCTTGTAAGAAACACAAAAGCTGATGAAATGGTGAAGGATCTCTATGTTGAGAATGCTCAACTGCTAAAAGCTCTGGAGATGACAGAACGGAGGCAAAAGATGGAGGAGAAGAAGAACTATCTGCTAGAAGAAAAAATAGCCAACCTTGGCAGAATAATCAAGAATCTGACCTCCAATGTAGGATCATCAGCTCAACTAGGATCTAAGTGCCTTTCTCCCCTTGCATTTAACTATAGTACAAACATGTCTTGACTCTTGACCATTTATTTTCTGCTGTATTGCAAGGTATTTACCCTCTAATCCCCAGCCTATGTGTAAAACTTCTTATGTCATACTTACCTGTACCAGTGTTAAAATAGTATTTCCCTGCTTATTTTGACTTTAGGTGCAGCTCAACACATGTACAATCTGTTAGACCTACTGTATTACCTATTACTTTAGGGGAAAGTCAGATGACCAACATGACTTGAAGCAAAGGCAATGGAGAGTGGATAAAGATGGGCAATTGGATAGCAAATGTCATGCTGGCATAGTCCCCAAAAGGTGTGGATATTAGCACTTCAGGGGTGAGGAAAGACCCTAACCTAACTACCTATTTATACAGAATTGTGCACTTTATTGAAATGTAAACATTTCATCTATTTTAATGCTGCATTTTGATAATTGCAACTCTGGGGCTGTGCTCAAAAGAAATCTCACCACTACTCTCAAAAACACAAAATTAATCTGTGTGTGGAAACACACTAAGCACAAATCCCAAACAAAGTGCCTTACTTTATTTATTTTTTTCGGTTTGCATGTTAGTTTGCAATGGTGTGAGGGGCACCACGGTCTAAGAGATTTCATCTATCATCCACTCACCATACTACTGATTCACTTTCCACGAGCCTTCTATCCATTGCCCAAAGCAGAATGTGAATGGCAGGCATTCCCTGAACCTTCCACCCTCTGCTGAAGTTTTAGAGGTAGTATTACTATAACCACATTTTGAAGGAAATTTGGAAAAGGGTATGTCCTCTGAGTTTTCCCAGTTCCATTCAAAGGAACAATGGTATCACAAACATCACCTTTTTGCCCGTCTCTAGGATACCTAGACTAGGAACTCTATGCCCTTTCAATTGACAAACACTAGTAAAGAAAGGTTAAGAAAGTAGATGGACAAGAAAAATCAAAGGTACACCAGAAGAAGCAGCTTGACTCTTAAGTGAAATCACAGCTAGATCTCTTCACCCTCAAACGGTCCCACCCTTAAGAAAATCATCTTAATGAGTAAGGCAGAAAAAGGATAATTGTACAGGCAATCCTCAACTTACAACCATTCATTTTAACAATTGTTTGAAGTTACAATGGCACGGAGAAAAGGGACTTTACCAGTCCTTGCACTTACAGCCATTGCAGCTTTCCAACAGTCACATGGTTAAAATTTGGGTGCTTGACAACCAGCATGTATTTATGATTGTTGCAGTATCCAAGATCACATGATTGCCCTTTGCAATCTTCCCAGCTGGCTTCCAACAAAGTAGATGGAAGAAGTCAAACTCATTTAACAACTGCAGTGATTTGCTTAACAATTGTGGCAAAAAAGTTGTAAAATCAGGCGCAACTCACTCAACAACTGCCCTTCTTAACAATGGAAATTCTGGTCCTATTTGTAATTGCTAAGTCAAGGACTATAGAAAAGTAGCAACATAGAGCTATATGGTATGGAAACTGATGAGAAAACAAAAAACTGAACAATTCAAAAATTCTGATGCTATCTGGCACTAGTGGTTTGTACTGTCAGCATCCACACTGCTGAGTTAGTGCCTGCGGAAGACAGGAAAAAATATCTTGATTTGCAGGACAGGCTATTAGTTGGTCGTAGCAGAACATTCTTTGCATGCAGAACATTCCTCTTAAGAATTTTAAATTCCAATGGTCTGTATATACAGCAGCAAAGCTTCATATGATTATTAAGGATTATAAACATCATGGCTGAGAAGTAGCTGACCTTCAGATACTAAATATGAATACTGTTTTTATTTTTACTAACATTTTCAGGAACCCAAATTTCTCATGTACATTTGAAGAAAGAAGATTGCATTTATAAAGAGAATACTTCTGTTTGAAACCAGAAGTGACTAGCAATGAATTTTGGACTGCCTAATTATTTGGCTGGTTTTTTTTTTTAATTTTATGACTTTATTTTAAATATCAATTTGATATTTAACATTCTGGTTTTACTGTAATTTACTGTAGTCAAGAGATATTTATACATATGGATTTTTAATCACCCATTGTCTCTCACCAATGGAAAAAGAATAGTTGCTTTTTCTGTGCTACAGCTACATTGAGTGTGTGAACTGTTTTTACCACTCTACCAATTATAACCTGAATAAAAAATGCAACCAGTGAGGCTAAGGCTAAAACATGTTGTAGACCAAAATATCTGCAGAACATTTAATTAGCCAACTGTGCCTTATCCTGTTTATAGCTGCTTCTACATGCAAAGCATGCTGATTCCACCTCTGTAATAGACTCATTCAGAATTCTGCAGAGGGAAACCTAATTCTTTCTAGTGTACCAAATAATGTTCATTTGCATCAGAAAAAGGTCAGGGATCTCCATCCAAGCAATTTTGATGCACTTGCTCTTTTGTAAATAACACCTGTGGAAAGAATTAACCAATCTTTGTAACTTATTTAGTACTGGCTAGAATGGACAGCTTTTTTGTGGATGGGACCAGAATTTCCTGGGAGTGGTTATTGCTGTGGGGAATGGGATATGTTGCAATTATTATTATTTTAAATAATATTTAACTATCTTATATTCAGTTCAAGGCTTGCACTACACTTTCAGATTCTTTCCCATTTCAAAATAATAGAAAACCATGCCAGCAATTTCCAAAAATTGTGATAAAAGATGGGTATACAGAAGGGGCTATAAAAAAGGGATTCAGGAGTCTGACTCCTGCCCTTAAACAACTTTCCCCAACTGGGTGCAATCCAGATGTTTTAAGATCCTTTAGATTTTTAGCAAGATATCTGAGAATGCTGGGAATTGCACTTCCAGTGAATTTTGAGAGTATCATTACTCTCAATACTCTTTGGGAACAATAGTTCCCAAAGGGTTGCACATGCACAGAAAAATAGGTGATAAAATGGTAAATTTGTCATCCAAACACAGCTATTGTTTTTGTTTTGCATGGGGCTGAAGAAAACCTGACTCAACTAAAATTAGTTCTTTTTTCATTTTTTTTTTGTATGGAAATTTATCACTCCAAAGCTTTTTATCTAAAGCAGGGATCTCCAAACTTGGCAACTTTAAGACTTGTAGATTTCAACTCCCAGAATTCCCTGGTCAACTATACAATACTGGCTGATGTGTTCTGGGACTTGAAGTCCACAAGTTTTAAAGTTTCCAAATTTGGAGAGCCCCTGATCTAAGCAAACAACTTAGTATAGTAGAGTGGTTAAAATGCTAGATGGAAAGCATGGAAACTACTCCATCATGATCACTCCCATCCATGGGCAAGCACCCAGTATCTCAGTCTAACCTACCTCACAAAGTGAGTGTTGTGAGGATAAATTAAAAGTAGACTTTGAAGTGAAGGATAATTCTGTGGACTTGAAAACTCTCTTCCAAAAAAGATGACTGATGCCAATGCTATGTTATTTGAGGCAATGGGGTAAGGCATTCTATTTGCCAGACAGCTTATCTTGCTATGATGTCTCAACCAGCATCATAGGATTTCTATAGCTTCTATAGCCTCTCAGATTTGTTAATTGAGGTTAATGTTGCCATTTATCAGATTTGTATTTGATAGAAGTATTTTGTTTCTATTGTACATTGCCATAAAAATAACTGGAGGATGGACAGTATTAAACATTTTAAATACGTAAAATCAACCTTTGTTCTTATATTGTTGATCTCCTATTTTGCAGCAGCTTTATTTCACTCCCATTATTTCTGACATCAATTCACAGAATTTATATTTCATGACCCCTTCGTTAAGGCCTCTTCCTTGGGTATACTTGCATGGTCAGATATGCATAAAGGCTGGACCCTGTATTACTGGCATCAATCTGGCACTACGAAGTATAGTCTCCTGTTCAGCTCATTTAATGAATTCATGGATGTGTCTGTATAGTTTTCTTGACAATATGGAAATAGCTTGCCATTTCCTTCTTCTGTATTATTACCTTTATTGTCAGAGTACAACATGTGTACAATGAGATTTATGTTGAATCAAAACTTCTACCCCTGGAGCTCTTGCTTTTTTCCGACTTCTGCTCCAAGAAGAAAATGCGAGGAGTACAGGCATTATAGCTGTGTTTTTTAAACTTGGCAATGTTAACATATTGCTGGCTGGGGAACACTGGGAGTTGACTTCCACACATCTTAAAACTGCTGAGGTTGGGAAACACTATATTAGAGCATCAGCCTTAGCTGGGAGACTAAACCTTGTCTATATAATACATTTAACCTAAGCATTAACCCATTTTTCTGGGCTTGAACAATACACTGTACACTACAGTATATACTATAAACTATAGAGTAAGAAAATGATCTAAGTTCAAACAATCAAGTAAGCCTCCAAAAACCAAATAAAGATAAAACAAGTTTAACATATTTGAATGAAGCTGCTATGTTGTAAATGATTTGCTGTCATAACTGGAGATATGTTGTGTTTTGGCAATTGACACAAAAACTAGATCAATAGAGGCTTTTATGCTTTTTTTTTTACTATTTAAAGTGAAGCTATGTACACAAGTATTTATAACACAACCCCATTCACCCAGTATCAGGTTTCTTCCCTAGTCTCTCACCCAGGGACTCTCTCTCCCTCTAGCTCTCTTGCTAACAGTCTTGTTTTCCTCCCATTTTCACTCCAACTCCCTCCCTAATTTGAGGGCTTAACGAGAGAGAATGGGGGAGGGGGGGAGAGTGTGTAGCTGGAATTTTACTGTCTGATGCTCAGCTGAATGCTGGCTCTTCTATGAGGGAAAAGCCTCTCTCAGGATCTTCTACCCAGTCCTTTCCCAGAGACCAGGACTTTGCCACCAACAACCAATCCTTCCCCTTTCAGGTCCTGAGTGAAGTTGTTGCCTACACTCAATTGGGTTCCTCCTTCTCCAGCCAAGCTTCTGTCCCTCTCAGTTTTCATTTCCCTTTTTTTCAGGAAAGCCACCTTTCTTCCCCAACCAGGAACCAACAACTGCTCTGCACACTTAATTTCTCTTTCCAACTTTTCTCTCCAGCCACTAATGCAGTGACTTTTTCTTGCCTTCTCTCTCTAATTTTTATTCAAGCCAGCAGTATACACCCCCCCCACCAGCAACTGAGAAGGTAGGTATCTCTCGCAGAGCTCTGGTCCCCAACATTGGTATACCAGGCTGATCAATGGGACTCCAGTCTCAAATATCATCACAACAGCTCATCAGCCCTTGTGATTGCTCACCTTCACTTCAAAATCAAAATTGGTCACTTCGCTTCTTTTACTTGTTCTATATCCTGGCTCATGGCAACAGAACAGCAGTCTTGCCAAGGCATTAAAACCCATATGCCACACCTGCTTGAATGTGTTATATGAATACAGCAAATAAATTACAAACTAAACATTTAATCCAGATGTAATACAAAATTTGTCTTAGTATGTGTGAGAATCCAACAAACTGAGTTATTTCAGTTAATCGTGTAGTATATGGACAAACACAAGTAGATAGTAAAGCAAATGCATAATTTTCAATGGTCCTGCAAATATGCCTATATAAGTTGTAAGGATCACTTGGGCAAGTTCATACTACACATTGTCATAATATAATTTGCTTGCTTGCTTGCAGCTTAGCGTATGGTGTGCACCTAGGCACTGTGGTTAGTAAATCATTTTTTGTGGCTTCATTTGTGAACCTAATCAATTACAGTTTATTCAGTAACTAATGGTTATATACTTGCATTTTATTTGAACACATTCGTACAAGATCCTGATTGCCTAAATTTAATTTTGGACAATCCATTTGGCAAATATTTTATACTAGAATGCATTGTGCAAACCCATAAAATGAATTCAGAATCAGATTGTTTTGTTTGCACACTGCAAAGGTTTTGGAATAATATGGATAAAGATTGGGCTGAGTGTTGATCAGATGCTAAACCACAATATGTAACAAATAACACAGCCATCAGTAAGCATTACCATATCGCTGCATAGTCTCATCTATATACCCAATTGCATGGCAAAGTCAAGTCTTGGCACTCTCTTGGGATATCAACAAAGATTTTTGCTCTTTAAGATTTCAGCCAGGGTATAACGCAACATATCCCATGAAACAGGTTTAACTACTTAATCAGTTTTCATTTGATAATAAATTACAGTACTCCGGAAACAGAGGCATCTAGAAATTCCTATTCTCTCCTTACCACAAAGTGATTGACTTTACACAGGATGTCCCCATTAATTTCTCTACAAGTTCAAAATTACTACAGGACAGGAGCAGCAATGTTCCTCAAGATGTCTCTCCCACCCCAAGAATTCAGTAGTATTAAAGACTCCCACAAGTGGACTCCCTCAAAGATTAATAAATTACCTGAACACGTCTGGTTTTCATTTATGTTTTTGCCCACCAGCAGTGTCAAAATCTCATTTCAAAAAGCCCAAATCTTGCCAGTCTAACCTACAACCCTGGGGTCTTCCTGTTGGTCTCAGCCATGTACAGAGACGGCTAAATGTGTCCCGTTTTCTCAGCTATAAAGTTGTCCTCCGATGTCACAGCTTAAAACTACAAAGGATATTTATTTATCCAATGTTTACCGAAATCCATCTCATTCTGGGAGGCTTACAATTAAAAAAAATAGAAATTAAAAACATTAAAAACTTAAAAAAAAACAAAAGCGAAACCAATAAAAACACAAAAAAAAACACACAACTTAAATATACCCAAAGAGCAGGATACCTCGTCCAGTTGGCAATACGGTCAGGAAACGGGGGAGGTGGGGGCACATTTAGTGACCCAGGCTTAGGAACATAAAAGACAAATTTTAGGGAAGCTTTAGGAAAGGCTAATAGGACTTGGACCGTTCCGATCTCCGACTGCAGTTTGCACAAACTGTCACACCTGAAGGGAGTACTTTCAGCAACAGCTGCTTCCAACGGCCAGGGAACGCCAAGCTTTAACACGAGGAAACACGAGGAAGCCCTTTCCGTCCAAGCCATGAGGTGGCGCACTTCCAACCGCCAGGTTTGGTTTGGCTTTGTTTTTGTTTTTATTGCGCCATTGTCTCCTTTCTAGGGCTGAGAGAGTGTGCCTGGCCCTACTGGCTTCATGCCGAAGGCAAGGCTAGAACTTACGATCTGCAGCCACAAGTACGCCAGACTGACTCAGCCGGACACGCCCTCCACAATCGCCAGCTGCTCTTCCCTTCCCTCCCTCCCTCCTCCTCCTCCTCCTCAGCTTTCCACGCTCCCAGCGCTGCCTTCCCATTGTTCCTTGCGCGCAGAGCAGCCGCTGTTCCTTCAGAGCTCAGGCTGTGGGCGGGAACGGAAAGTTTAGTCCGGGGAGCTTGCGAGGGAAGAGGGAAAGGAGCGCGGGTCGGGTGCGCGCGCGTGCGCGCGCGCCTCCTTAGAACTGTCCCACCCCTCCGGCTCTTCTTCTTCCTCTCCCCCCACCCCGCCCGCCTCCTCCTGCTCGGGACAGGGAGACGTGGTGCGCGCGCTTGGCCGGTCGGGGGCGGGGGGGGGGGGGGGAAGGAGGGCGAAAGGGGAGAGGCGGCGATGGATCCTGACCGGGAGAGAATCGTCCGAGGACGGCGGCGTTGGTGGATCCTCCGGCGGCTGTGAAGGGGGCGGCGGCGGCGGGGAAAAAGGGGGATGCTGTCCCGGAAGAAAACGCGCGCCGACCTCTCCAAACCGGGCGAGGTGCAGGGCAAGTACATGATCAAGGAGACCAGCCCGTTGCTCCGCAGTGAGTTTTGAAACCTGGTCGGGGAAAGGGGAGAGACGAGGGAGGAGGAAGGGAAAAAAGGAAGAAAAGACTAATATTTGCTTCTTCTGAGGGGGGAAAAATGGGCCGAGGGGAAGGGTGGGGTGTCTCAAAATCTCAGGGATGCTTCTTCCAAGGTGAGGGGTCGATTTTTTTACACAATGGTGGCAGAAGAGACCCAACCTTAGTTAGGTTTACATCCCAGGATCTTCTTGCAAGCTTCACTTAAGACATTCTACATTCCTTAAATAGGGACAAGCAGCTTCAAAAAGCATTTTTTTTTCTCTCCCGCAAATGAAACCAAGAACAACAAAGATTTGAGATCTTCTGAAAAACCTTTAGATAACGTTAGATCAGTAGAGGGTGCTGGTTCTTACTTGTCTAATTATAACAAATAACAAACTACTCCTTTTTCACCTCAATTTAAGCTGCTCTTTTCTTTTTTAATATGACTCCTTGGAGTGGGAACCCAAAGTAGAATATTTTCTGAACTTAATCCTGGTACTGCTGACAAAGACCAGGGCTGAAATATGCTCAGTAAGACACTATTTTTCTGAATTCTGAGTATTTGTCTGTCTATGAGCCATATGAGTATTTGTCTGAGAGCCAGTGTTTCATATGGTGTTGTTGTTGTTGTTGTTGTTTTGGGGGGGGGGATAAAGTATAATGCCAAGCCTGAAGTCTGTCCACCCCTGCCAGAACTTCAGAGGCCAGATAGGAAACTCATTGGACTTAAATCACCTGTAGTCATTAGTGTCTCTGTTCCTTTCTTTAAGGAGAGAAATTGCTCTTGTTTCAAAGGCCAAGTGTAGGCCACAAGGCCTTAGCTTGTCACCTTATTATAATCTTTAAAAGATTATGCATGGTTAACCTAAAACTTTCTGGTTTGGAGAGAAAACAGCTGTGACTGATCTCATTCCATTTGCAGGGGGAGAACAATTTTCTTCTGAATAAATTGGGGGAAAGATGCTGGTGATGATTATAGGTTATACCTTTCTTATCATCTTAATCATATCTAAGTCTCACAGGAGTTCTCATATTTATGGTTTGTATCACCTGGGAAGCTGAGCAGGACATATCTGGAAATGATTTGAAATGAATTCTTTTTTAATTGCAGAAGCCTGCTTGAGTTGATGAAATAAAAAGTTTCAAAAACGGCTGTTTGAATTAAATTTTCTTGCCCAAAGATGATATACAGTTCTAATATTAACACAAAACAAGGATGGTTTTTATCTTTTCCATAAACTTTCAATTGCTTTGCAGTAAGTAGAAATGGGATAAAGACCTGCCAGACTTTTTACGTATCAAGGTAAACGTTAAATAAACACTAAATGTTTTTTATTGTAATGGAGTTCTTTGATCAAAAGAACCCAAGTAGGAACCAGTATTTTTTCTCTATTTTATGAGTCCTGAATAAGTTATAATTTGAATTAGCCAAAGCTTTTTATTTCAAAAATAAATCCTATTCATTGGAACTGTTACTACAATTTTCAAAAAGACTACATGGTGCCGGCTGTGACAGATAATTAACAATTATTTTATAATTATAATAAATAGCCTTATTCCAATAGCTTGCTTAGATCCCTTTTATCTTAGAAAGTTAAGTTTTATCTTGGCTCAGACTTTTATGGGAAGTAGTAAAGGTCTAGTTTGGTATAAAAGTCAAGAAGTCTGATCAGAGTTTAAAAGCCATGTAACAGAAGAGATACACTACCAGAATTTCACGTTAATTACTACTACTCAATGCTATCTCTGACTGCCCTTAGCCTTGTGGGATAAGATTGGTTGATATACAAACTTGGAAAGTGGCCGTTTTCCTGTTGACAAATCAAAAGGAGAGGCAAAAATGAGTCGCATTTAAGCTTGCCCGTGGAAGTTGTGGGAGCACCATCACTTGAGACCTTCAAGAAGAGATTCAACTGCCATTTGTCAGAAATGGTATAGAGTCTCCTGCTTGGGTGGAGGGTTGGGCTAGATGAACCTACAGGGTCCCTTCCAACTCTGATTATCTGTTATCATTAATGAAGCTTAGAAATAGGTTTAGATCAGGTACTGTGTAGCAATCTAAGTGCAGGCTGTATGTATTTATAAAGTCTCATTTCTGCAGCTTTCAGACTTCCTTCTGACCATCATTATCTGAAACTGATAACATAATTTCCTACCATTTTGAGAGGACAAATTGAAGATTATAGGGTATGCATTAAAATGGCATAATATGGGTAAAAATAAAATTCACCGCCACTGTCATTTGTTTTGCAGCCCTGAGTTGCTCCTCACAAATACTAAATGTGGCCCAACTCTTTAAGAAAGTCTTCTATTTAGATGGCTAATCAGTAGATGCTAGAATAATTTGACTTATTTTGCCTTAGAGAAGAAAAAAAAAGGTGTTCTTACTGCTTTCCAAAAGAGCTCCCTGGGATTCTTTTATTAAACTATTTATTCTGTTGCTATTGTACTTAGTTCTGATTTTTAAAAAGGGGAAATTAGATTTTGGTTCAGTTTGGGTTCACATATAGGAAAAGATCTTCTCTGCACTGTTTCTTACCAGGGTACAGAAGTGTGAAGAATCTAAATAAAATGTGTTTGCTCAAAACTTAATTGAGCAAACCTAACACTAGATAGATTTAGTTATTGTGATGGAGGAGAAATTAGAGAGGGCTAGTGTAAGAGAATCACTGCCAGGAGTGAAGAATCTACTGGATTTATTGAACTTTTGTCTTCCAGTAGCTTCAGTTTTTAGGCCATACAGTAGTATTTGGAAGGCTGTAGACTCCTTTATTCTGAGGCTTGAAAAGTTGTTACAGCATTTTCTGTGACAAATTCTCATAACTGGAGATTTGGGGAATTATAGTTCCAACATAAGGGCACTACGTCAAGCAAGTTCACCCTATAGAATAAGAAACCTATATCAGCAATATTCATAAGACAACAGTAGTAATGCATTTATATTAAACACAAAATAGTCTGTGTTGGTTGTTGTCTCCCCAAACATATACACAGCTCACTCTTTCAAAATACCTGAGCTTATGCTGCATTATTATGATATATTGGAATTATAGGAAATAATTAAATTAAGTAGAAATGTCAATAATGTAATGTGCCACTGTTTCAGCAATGTTTTATGCAGCTTGTAATCCCTTCATTTCAGAAATACACATAGATGATTATTGTTTTGTATATCATGATAAGCCAGTATTTGTTAAGAGTGGTTAGAGTGCAGTACTGCAGGCTACTCCTACTGCAATTTGTAAAGGTTCCATCCTTCCAAGGTGGGTAAAATGAGGACCCATATTGTTGGGGGCAATATGCTGACTCTGTAAACCACTTTGAGAGGGCTGTAAAGCACTATAAAGCTGTATATAAGTCTTAATTGCTATTGCTATTTGGCTAGTTTGAGGGTTTTTTTTACCTGTCTTGTAGAAGTACCTATAATTACTTACTAATGATGTGCAAATCAAGTCATTGTCTAATGCAATATAACAACTATGTTATATTGAACAGTGTATGTACATACATCAGGAAAACTCTACAAATCTGACTAATGTCTAACTGGATCATGATTCCAGAAATATCAGATGTACAAGTTCTATTTCGGAACATCCCACAAACTTTCTGAACATAATTTGGCATTCGTGCTTATGATAGATTCATAAGGTGGCAGCGGGATACTTTTGACCTGGCCATGGTATTTATTCACGAAGAAGTGAAATTGACTAAGATGTATAGAATTACTTTGCTTTAAAGAAAATATTAAATTTTTTCTAAAAACTTTAATTCCAGCATTACAAGCTTGAAACAAAGTTTAAATACCTTGAGATTTCTTCCTAGAATGTTTTTGGAATTGTGCAGTTTGGGGTTCGTGTTCATATAAAGGACCTCCTTGGGGCTTTCTTTTTGTTTTACAGGGTTTAAAATTTAATGTACCCACTCCTCATTAACATTTGTAAATATCCTAAGTTCTATGTATTTATTGTTACTATAACTTTCTGCCACAGATCTGATGCCTTCATTCATCCGTCATGGTCCAACCATTCCAAGGCGAACGGATATCTGTCTTCCAGATCCAGTGCCTTCTGTCTATTCGGCAGGTGGGGATGGAGCCCTTTCCAGACATCAGAGCTTCCTAAGGACTCCAGTGCAGAGGCCTCCTCATGAAATAGTACGGCGGGAAAGCAACAGGCTATCTGCCCCTTCCTACCTTGCCAGGAGTTTAGCTGAGGTCCCTCGGGAATATGGCTTATCTTCACAGTCATTTTTAACAGAGGCCAACTCGGTTACTGAAAATGGAGATGCTGGATCTCGTTACTATTTTGGTCACTTTTATAATGATCAAAGACGACATCAACTGGGGGATCATGTTCAGGAAGAATATAGATACTATGAACATAATACTGACCTCATCCAACGGATGTCACAAAATCAGGGAAGACACAGTTCAGGTAAGTATCATTGGTTTTTTTTACACATAATTCTATTTTTATTTTTTTTGGCTGTATGTCAAAACATCTAAACAGTATATTTTACACTTTTACTAGTAGAATTCAGAATTGATTGAACATATCAACATCTGAAGCTGCCTTGCATTGGGTCACATAGGAACTGTGCCCATGTAGTAATCACACCTTGTATTTTTTATTAACATTACCTTGATCCATTGACTTAAGAATCAAACTGTTGTGGAAAATGCAAAAAACTTGGGCAACAGCTGTGAACAACAACAATGCCCTATTAGTGTGTAAGAGGATCTGAATTGCAGGGCTTTGGTATTTCCTCCACTAATATAGATAAAGGGCTGATCTCAAAGAGCTGGTGTAATTAGCATCATTTAATGAGTCCGCCCATGGACCCTTTTCAAAGGTAAAAGTAAAGGTTTACTCTTTCTAGTCGTGTCTGACTCCAGGAGGTGGTGCTCATCTTCCTTTCTTAGCTGAGTGAGCCAGCATTGTCTGAAGACATTTCCATGGAAGTGGCCAGTTTGGCTATATGCTGAAGCGCACAGAACAGTGTTACCTTGCCACCATGTTTGTACCTATTTATCTACTCACATTTGCATGCTTTTGAACTGCTAGGTGGGCAGGAGCTCATCCCATCACATGACACTCAGGTCTCAAATCTGGGCTGTCAACTTTCCAGCTGACAACCTCAACGTCTTTAACTGCTGAGCCGTCACATCCCCTTTTAAGAGGACCCATATAGAATCTCAGCCAAAAAAGGAATGGATCTTTCTCTTAAGCTCCTTTTTGTTTCGCTTGTTTGTATTTGCTTGACCAAAAAATGGGCTTTATCATTCTGATTTAAATTTGTTAAACTAAGAACTAATATAAAATTTTATTTATTCTACTAGACGTGCTAGTGATTCTTTTATCCCGCTGCCTCCACAGCGTATTTCTTTCTTAGCCTTTTAGTATATTATATGTTTCAAGCTCAAAACTGAGGAGTTAATTTTTATCTTCATGACTGACTTTCATAATTCTTAGCAGTACTTTCTACTCTGATTCCTATGGTGTGGCCTGAGCCTCATCTAAATTTGGTTATAGATAAAGTGATTTTGGTTAAACAAACTATATTCCAAGCAGTATACTGTTTCATCTCCTTGTTGAAAATATTGAACCAATATTTGAGGGAAAGATTTTTAATTTGGGGAAAACAACTGATATATTTTAATCTTATATTTTGCTAACAGCATTCTAAAATATAAGTTGTATACATTTTTTTAAGTATTCCCTCTCATTGGAAGTTTAGACTTAGTAACAGGTAGCACCTGCATTGATATTAATTACTTCAATAAAAATTATCATTAATTTTTCCATCTGTCTGTAAAACATTGCTCCAGTAATCTGCTGGATTATTCAGGTGGATATTTTCAAGCTTGAGATAGGTGGCAATGTGCTTTCTGGAGAGCACTAGTATTCTCTTACTATACGTACGATTCTTGTTCAGTATTTCATTATTATGGACTCATGAACCCCAACATGATATAATGCAAGAGTGACCTGCAGATCCGTTGCTGTCAACTTAGAGTTGAATGCTACTTCCTGGAGTATTACATCTTTTGATCTTGAAAGAGTAGCATTGATGTTTCATTTTTTTTATATAGTATCTATTGATCATGATGGATTGATGGAGGCCAAACACTTTGACAATTGTTGGAATCATTTTCGGACTCAAATGTATTGACAATCTATTTCCTGTAATGTAATAAATTTTGATTGGAACATGGTTCACATCCATAGACATGACATGAAAAATGGTATGTGCATTTTTAATGGGAGAGGGACCCTCAAACTCATGCTTATCTCATTGATTGGAACATCTAACTTACCCTCTTAAAGAGAATTTCTTATTGTAGGACTGCACATACTTTTTTCCAACAAAGATAGCAAATGTGGTCATCAAGTGTTCAGGTGACCACAGCTAATAGCATAGTACATAGCACATAACATAGTACATTGTGTGTGATTTATTTAATCAGAATCTGTATATTAATAGGACTTAAATGAAGCTCTGATCACTTTATAGATCACATTGTTACAGGATCATAGATCTGAAAAGGGATTTTCAAGCTTTCCCCATTGTGAGGCCTATTCTATTGGATGACTTGTTTCACCAGACCAGAGATAGGCAATGTTTGAGAGGCCAAAAGCCAGCTTCTGGGCAGGCTTCAGGAGGCCATGGTGCTACCAACAGGAAAAAATGAGACTGAACATCTTGATGCTTTTTCTGTTTTAGAGATTTTTAAAAGATGAGAACGAGATGGTTCCTTTCTCGGTTCCACCCTCCAGAGAGTATGTCCAATATTGACTATGCTTATCAGCCGTATATCCTTTTTCCTTCACTTTATTTTGCTTTCTTTTCCCATTTCCATTTTTCCCTGAGCAAAACTCAGGGCTAGCAAATTCACAGGTACCAACACATCAAAGCCCTTTTCTTACAGCAGAGGGTGAGCAAGAGGGTCATCTTTCAATTGGGCAACTATGCACAACCTCACTTCAGTCAAAGCTGCAATTCCCAAGTCATTAGCCATGAGTCCCATCATTGCCCAATCCCTTCACCATCCTTTGCAAGAGTATAGTATTCTCATCTGCAGTCCCCCTTCCTCAGATCCCTCTCCTTGCTCCTGTTGCAGAAGGCATGAAGCAAGCCACTTAGATATGATTGTGATGCTTCCCTTCAAACCCATTCAGATAAGAAAGAGGGTGAACTGTTGAGGAAGGGAACCTGTAGGCAGCCTTTGAGTCTCAGATTTTCTAAAAAGTAGATTACCACGATTGCTCGGGAGGTGTGTAAATTCCTGGGCCTAGGAAATCCAGAACTTCATCTCCTTCCCAGATCTCTGATGGGCTTGCTGACAATAGAAGTCATGCCTGTGTTTAGCAACCCTACCACCTCTCTTTCTACAGAGCATAGTACAAGCTCTATGGGCAACAAGAAACGTTTAGTCCTTGCTCCTAAACTGCATTTTTCCTCGTCCGGTTCTAGTCCTGCTCAAATACTTTAGTGCATCTGTTTGTGGCAACCCTGATTTCAGGAGCTATCTTGAATAAATATCCAAAGATCAGGAAAATTGTGAATTTGCAGTGCAGAACACATGAGACAAAAGCTTTAGCTATTACAGGTTCCATGGCTATCTCAAGCTTTTGCCAGTTTTTTCTTTTCCTGTAGGCTAACCCAACCATCTAGACAGGCAAATTAACCAAGGTGGCCACCTTCATAGCAAAAGCTAGTCTGGACAGTGCCCAATTTTCAGAGGTTTGGTGCCTAATTGTCTATTTGGTGCAGAAACCTCAGTCCTTAGTTTTGATAGGGGTTTGGTATGTCTCATTTCAGAATGTTCTGGCTTCCCTGTAGGAAAACAGGACATAAAAGGTCTACATCAGAAACAGGTCATCAAGCCCACTCAGGAATTAGTAAAAATAGATGAAACATCTATGGGGAAGAGCATTTAATTACAAGATTTTTACTTTGCGTCAATCCCAAAACTCTAAACCAATACAGAATCATTTTATATCTTTTTTTTTAAACTTTTCTTTGATCTCTCTTTATGGGTTATTTCAAAGCTGGGAAATTAGTTACCTCATTCCACAGGAAACAACACCAGAAATTCTCCTAGCTCTAGCTTTGAAGTGAGTGCATATAGAAAGCTAGGGAGATGGATTTGTAATAAATATTCAGAAACATCATGTAAACAAGGGTAAAATGGGAAGGGAGATAGTAATAAGAAAAGACTCATAATTTCTGTCTCACTGAGATATACGAGGGAGAAGAGGAGTAGCACAACTGGACTTTAAGATTTTATTATTATAGCCTTTCTCAATAAAATATAGTTCTGGTCTTCCTGTGGAATGTGTTTCCTGATCTGGCCGACGTCAGAGCGCTGACAGTGGGAGAGAAATACCCACTTAGGATACCAATTGCTGTGGTAGAAAAAGGACCACTGTGGCAAGTCCAATGTAGCATTTTGGTTTGTTTGGGAAAATATGGTTGGTATATATAGCATACACAGATTGTCAGATCTCAAAATCCAGTTATGTTCCTCACTTTTTATTGGATTCTGATGATCTCCTTGTTGCTTCATAGAATATAAGTTTTAAAGAGCATAGGTAACTTTGGTGTCATTGGGGTTTCTGTTGTGGGAATTTGGTGGTATGGCTGGCCTGACAGTGGAAGCAAAATGAAAAATTGCTGGGCTGTCTGGTTGCTTTCGTTTAATTCTGAGGTTTGAAAACAGTGACATTAAGGCAGAGGAAAGGAAGGCCAAACCACAGCTAGTGCTTCTGCTTTCTCATGGTTTCCTTCTAAGGGATTGAAATAAGAGAAAATAAGATGTTTCAGTGAAAGGGCAGGAAATTACTTTGAATTCTGGTCTCAGAGTTTGGAAGAAATAAAAGAAAAGTTGGCATCTTTGAGAGATTGGAAGTAGATTGTTTCTTTTGCCATTGGCTAAGAAGCAGTTAAAGTATGAATGGACAGAAACTAAAAATGTGGACTGTCTATTCTATACAAATAACAGGACAGAGTAGACATATTAAAATGAGAAGGAATGGCAGATGTTATAATATCCTCAGGCATTTATTCTGTGGCTTAGACACCACCCGAAATATAATTCCATGTTAAGTAGGTAAGCTTAAATTGTTTTTTCACATTTTGTAGAGGCAAAAGTTTTAAAAGAGGGTTTTCTCAAACACACACTTGCTGAATGATTGTAGTAGAGAGGAGTTTTTACCGAACCACCCTAGTCCTTATTATGAAACACTTCAAATTTAGGAGACATTTTAGTACTCCCAAGAACATACAGTGGTAGATTCTGTATATTTCTTAATGAACCCTCAAATGGATGGCCTTTTAACACTTCAGTCAAAACGCATCTTGGATTTTTTCACTGAACAAGATATTTTCTGGTGAGAAAAAAAATAGGAAAAAACAGGAAAATTCTTGTAATAGCATAGGTTACAACTGTAAGATGATGCAATTCCCTCACCATAACATTCCTTGAATGAAGTTTTTGCATACCAAAAGTCTTCTCTGGAAGCAGTCTTGGAAATATCTCATTTAAGAGAATGAGATTGTTAATTCAAACCAGATGCTCATATTTCTCTCTCCAGGTCCTTGTCTCACAGCCTCTATCTACCAAGGAAGAAAAGAATTTGTGCGTACAGCCACCATGACTCTAAAAAAATCTGGAAAATCATGCTAAGTGAATTAATGGACCACTACTACCACACATCCCCCAAAATCAGGCAGTGTGTTCAAAGGGGTTCAGCACAAAGAAACCTCTTATACAAAGCATATTCATCCCCAGCCTATGTGTTCAAAGAACACAAGGCAGATCCAGAGGATGGAGGGACAACATCAAAGTTACACTACAACATTAATTAACAGTGGTTGAGGCTGCCAGAAAGCAAGAACCAGATCTTTGTATCTGCTTTGACATCTGAAGCAGTAAAAGAGGAAGAGAAGGAAGAGGAGGAGTGCCTCATGGTGGAGTGATATAGAGTTGCAATATTATTGAGCTGTCTAGGTGCAAATGAGTGGATAACTATTTTCTGGGAGCAACAATATCATATAATCACAATATTATACATTTTAGCCTCTCAGTGGTGTCATGGCAGTATTTGCAATATGGTTGCCCTGTCTCTTCATGATAACTGAACTGTACAAATGGCTTGGATAATTAAAGCTTTTAAAACATGTAGAATGATCTTCAGCAATTTTGTTTTTGCTTTTTTCATCCCCCTCCCCAAAATTAACCAGTGAAAGGCTTTGATCGAAGTGTTGGCTGTCTTCTCTTTTCCTTCTAAATTGGCCTAAGAAAGCTGAGAGGGTCTCATATTCCTGCCAGCATTTAAAATAAGTCAAATTCTCCTTAAAATCAAATACTTGGGGAGAAGCTAACAAGGACACCTGTGGTCTTTGTGGCTTGATCACGTCCTGTGGAAAGTAAGGGCAATGACCTTGACAGATATATGCAAAAATGTAATGAGCTGAAGCAATCCTGAGGTAATATTTAATATCCAGAAGGGTGTCAGGCAGATGCTTCCCTGATTCATGGGACTAAAAGGTGAAGGAGGTAAAGCAAATCAGACCTGCAAGGTTCCATTATAGGCTATGTTTCTACTACCTGTGTAATTGATTTCCTGGTTTGGTCTACCTAGAGGGGCTGACCAGTCTTGTCTTGTCACTGATAAGAGTAGTAATTTGATCTACTCTACAGTAACAGTCTCTTTCAGCCATCAGTGTTTTCCTCTGGAAAACTTGAGCCAATTAGTCCTCTTGTTTAGAGCAATGGTGCAGAACATTATTTCTGTAGGTAGACAGTATAATTTTCTTTGACTTCCATTGTATCTTCATTCTTTTTCACATGAGAGCGATAGAAGACAAACAAAGGTTCGAAGTGATGAGATGGTAGATGAGAACTAAGAACCTCCTTTTCCTATCAACTTAGAAATTTGATGCTGTTTGGAATAGAATGTACTAAATTACAGGAAGTTTAGTTAAGCCGATGACTAAACGTTCCTAAGGTATTGCCTAAGGAAGCTTTGTTTGCTTCATCTTTTCTGAGACTCCATGCCTAAAACCAAAGGAAACCCAAATTTCATTTTGTCTCTCTTAATTTCTTGGAAAACTTTGGTTCCAAGTTTTTGGACATCTTGGAAAACTCCACAATAAAAACCCTTTTGTTTCCAAACAATCAGTTCTATATGATTTGTGACCTCAAGTATCTTTTTCTTTTTGCTTTCCTTATTGGAAAACATTGAAAACTCCTTTTTAGCTGCTCTTTTATCTAGTTTAGAAGATTTTATATTTTTGACCACGTCCTTTACAATGTCCTCAGTGTTATTGAGCCTTCTTATGGGTGAAGGGGGGGGGGTTAAGCTTTTCTTCTAAGGGGAAGCTTGTGCTAAAGCAAAGTCTGATCCACAATTAATTGGTCATATTACATTTGGGTTGAGAAAGTACACAAATTTAGGCCTGGTTAGTACTTAGATGTGAGACTACCGGGGAAATACTTGGGATTTAGGCTAGACTGGGAAATCAAAAACATCCTGGAAGAAGGCAGTAGCAAATCACCAATGCATTGTTAAAACAAATTGTAATGTACTGTTTGTTACAATATTTGTTAACAAAGTCATTGAAAATTGAACTAATTAAAATATACTTTTCATAGTTTATTGATGAGTTTATGTGAATTTCTGAAAGCAAAAAAGAGATTAGAGATGCATTCTCCATATTTACACGAGGAAACAGGATGCAAAGGTAATACATTATGAAACTGATCACAACCTGTTTTTCTGAGGAAAGAAATTACATTGTTAAATATTATTTGGTTTATTAATAACCCATTTGCCTTGGTTTTCCAGGCATTGGAAGGGTTGCTGCAACATCACTAGGAAATTTAACAAATCACAGTTCAGAAGATTTACCTCTCCCTCCTGGTTGGTCAGTAGATTGGACTCTTAGAGGAAGAAAGTACTACATAGACCATAATACTAACACAACACATTGGAGCCATCCACTTGAGCGAGAAGGGCTGCCTCCAGGATGGGAACGTGTTGAATCGGCTGAATTTGGAGTGTATTATGTTGACCACATCAATAAAAGAGCACAATATAAACATCCTTGTGCTCCCAGGTAATATACTTGTGATCTTCACTATAGAATGTTTGAGTAGATAGAGACAACTGCGCTACAAGCTTTCTTTCTTTATTGCTTGTATGTATTTTCTCTTAACTTATTTTAACTTATAATGATTATCTGAATAATATCAGCAATTTTTTATTTTTGCATGTTTGTTCACAAAACATGTTAAAGTTGATTGAGCAAAACATTCCAGTTTGGCATAAAGCTTCGGAAAATATCCCATGAATATAAATGGTTTTCTAGCATTTTTGGAAACAATTGAAGCTTAAAACTCCTTCATGCAAAAAATGGAACATTTCCAAACTTTTTAATCTCCTGGATATTGAATGCCCAACAATTTATTAATAAGAGGTATCTATTATCAATCCCCACAACTCTCTTGTAATAGAGAAACTGACATTATATACAATTACCTCTACCTCTGTTCTACAGAGTCATTGAACTCTGAAGAATATATTTTAAAATATTTATATTTATTTATTTACTCTAGCAAGGAAAGTGAGTAGGCCAATACTCATATTTTACAAACAGAAAATACTAAAATGGAAAGAATTGTGGTGTGCCAAACCTAGATTAGAAAATTTGAACTAAAATGAATTCTTTTTCTTAGCATCTTTCTTGAAATCTAGTCATACTGGAAATTGTATAAATCCCCATAAATTTCTGAGAAGGATCATAATGTTTAATTTTATAATTGGCTCAAAATGAAGTCTTTAAAAACAGTGCATTCAAGTCAAAACGTTCAAATCGTGTGGTAGAAAATGATTCCTATACTCCTAGATTTATGTCATTTTAAGTTTGATATTATTAGTAATCGGAGCTTTAAGAGGAACTGATAACTACTATCCAGAGTTGCTGGGACTTGGGCTGCGTGTAAATTTTAATAAATTATTAGTATTATTAATAGTTCTCCTTCTCATATGTACTTGTGCATTTTACAGAAATTTTGCAGATCTGATGGAATGTAGTAGGTTGAATTCCAGGAGGGAGAGGGGGTACATTCCTAGGAATAAAGTGGCAGCTCAATCCTGATAGAAAGATCCAGTGTGAGAGAAAGAGGCTGAAGACAGCCACTCCCTAATAGTTTTTAAGAGTATATGATAGATGCAGATAGCAGAGTTTGTCAAGATTCTCTCTATAGGTAAGGAACAATAAAGAACCTAGGTTGGAAGAATCACCATGTGTCTTTCTTGGTTTTGGGGCCTGTCATCAATTGTTTTAAATCCTCTTGGTTAGAGATATTAGACGACTGTATATGTTGAATAATTTCTATGTAGGCAGATGGGTAAATATGAGTTTATAGAAATTATTAGTACATTTAAATTACGACTCAATGGCAGCACTTAACCAGTATATTCCACCCCACCCCACCGTCCCCAAAGCCAAGAAGAGTCAGATTTCATTAGTATTTGAGTGAGAGATTCACCACCAAACTTGAATGCCCTAAAAACAATTTGGAAGGCACCATTGAAAACTACATTCATATTGTTGCCCTAAATTATATGAATGTGTCACTGAGTCACCAGGAGTCAGGATATATATGTGAGTGTGTGTGTGTGTATGTGTTTGTGTGTACACAAGCCTGATGATGGCAGATAAGATTCTGCCGAAATGTTGCTACAACTTTAAAAGCACAACTATAATGACATGGGAAAATACCCAAACAAAACAATAACAGACATATAAATACCCAAAGTCTCAGGAGCATCTGTCTAGTCACATCTTGCTCAATTTAAAGTTTTCTTGATCACAGATTGCGATAAAAAATACTTGCTGTCTGCTTTTTGGTATGTCCGTTTGCAGCGTCCCCCGTTATGACCAACCACCTCCTGTGACATATCAACCACAGCCAGCTGACAGAAGTCAGCCTATTCTTGTACCTGCCAATCCGTATCACACTGCAGAGATTCCAGACTGGCTGCAAGTCTATGCTAGGGCTCCTGTGAAGTGAGTATTGCTTAAACGTTTTTTCCTACACCTGATAGATAAATACATTTTATAACAAATATGTTATGTTGGAACCTTAAAGATACCAAGTGTAAATTATCAAAAATATTTCTTCTCCCTTAAATCAGTTTTGATGTAGTGGGAAGTATTGAGTGTGCACTTCAGTAGTGTTATAAATTAAAATGTTTCCGACGTATTCAGTGACATTAGCCTTTCCTTTATGTTTGTTTTATATACTCCTGCGTTTTCTCAGATATGATCACATACTGAAATGGGAACTCTTCCAGTTGGCTGACTTGGATACATATCAGGGAATGCTGAAGTTGCTTTTCATGAAGGAACTGGAGCGGATTGTGAAGTTGTATGAAGCATATCGCCATGCCCTCCTCATGGAACTGGAGAATCGCAAGCAAAGGCAGCAGTGGTATGCGCAGCAGCACAGCAAGAACTTCTGAGCTCCTTTTTTGCTATGGACATTGATGAAGGTTTTTAGAACTCAGAGGGACTTCTTGTTCTCCTTTAAAAAATTGTGAATGAGTGCTTTGGTTAAAAAGGCAGCTTCTCTCTGGATCTTGCACCTTTTGTAATTATCTTCTTTGTGCATCATGGCTTTTGAATACAAAATGTTTGTTGTATAAAAAGTTAGTTTCCTATTCTGAAAGCCACTGTTGAGGAAAAAGGCAAAAACAACTTTGTGATTATTTTGTCTTTCATGTTTTTCTAGCAAATGGTTCTACTTTGAAGAAGCAAAATTTCCTTTTTCAAATGGGAAATGTCATTGTATATTTTTCTTGAAAGTAGGCACATTTTAAAGAAATTCTAATTCCCATTGCACAGCTGGTGATTTCACAGGTGGTCTTGTATCTGGAGGATAAAGAGATACTTCTGCTGCAGCAAATGAACTGTAAAGTTTGTAGCTTTCATATACAAGGTAACCACATAGGGGTTTTTCCTGTGGTTGCCTTGCAGAATAATAGTTTTGTTTGAACCAAGCACTTAATAAATTACTGCCTTATTTTGTTCAACTTTGTTCTGATTTGCTACTGGGCATTTGTTTGAGGAAATGTTGTATGTAGGCTGGTGGAAGCAGTCTGTAGCTTTGAAAGTATTCCAGGCAAGTAAGGACTGGACCAGCATTTAACTATAAACATGATGTTGGAGGACTGAGTTGTCTTGGCCATATGCAGTACATTTTATCATAATTAGAGTAGCAGTGAAGAGTTTTATAAAACATTTATTTGGTGGCAAAGTAGTTTTACATTCACAACTCCAGAGCAACTAATTATTTTCATTCTGAATTGTTTCTTATGACTCCTCTGACATGTTTTCTGTAAAATAAATGTTTTTGTTTAAAATTTTTAATATATTCTGTTTCTAAATGTCAAACCTTTTTGCCTTGTCAACAAGAGGTGGGCTGCGGAAGGGATTGGTCCAAGTCGGATTGCATTCATTACCTCATGTTGAAGAAATTTACCTTTAAATGCCTCTAGATGTGGTAATGTAGGACAAAACACCATGCATAGGCCTTGTGGGTTTGTTTGTGTTATATGGTTAGCCAGATTACTGAATTTATTTGTTTTCTAGATTCATATAGCCTACGTTCCATAAGCTTCTCTCATAGTCTGAGTTTGTGTTTGTGTAACATACTGAGCTGCAAAAATCTAACTAGAATTAATCCTAAATTCACCCTATAAGAATTGAACCACATACAATTCAGTTTTGATTGTTCTTTAAAAAGAATTTGTGCAGATTTTCCCCCTAAAGAGAGGCTGCTGTTAAGGAAAGCAGTTTCACTCTTGCAAGTGAAACAGATGCAGTGTAAATTCTTGTATTTAGTGTGAGACAGGGAAGTTTCTGCATGAACATTTAGAAATTAATAAAACAACATAGGTAATTGTCTTAGGAACAAACTTTTAATCAACAATAACATAATAAAACTAGGAACACTCTTTATGCACTAAACAAATATATATATATACAGAGGAATTTTCAAAGACATGTTAAAAAAGGCTTTTCCATCTCTTTAACATATCATAGCAAAAGAAATTTCTGCAACTTCAGAGAAGGCAAGTGAATAAGCTGTATGAAGAAAAGTGTGCCTATCAAAACCTTTAGGTGTACATTGGGCAATGTTAGGATAACCCCACTTAAATAAGTGTACAGATTACAGGTAGACCATTACTTTTATTCATCAGGTTTTCCTCACAAAATCCCCCAAGTGCACATAAAGGTTTAATTTGCATACTTCTCTTCATCAAACTGCATGGATGTGTCCATGAAGTTACCAGGAATTGATTCTGACTCAAGAGTCTTTATTTTTTTTTCTCCTAGAAAGCCTAAAGCGATCTTAATGACTCAAGGGACTCAGATTCAGAGAAGCCCACACAAGCAGTTGTGTACATGATCCTCAGCTGCATTGCTGCTACATCCCAATTTGCTCCTTTGGGATGGCATGGCTCAGCTGAAAGGAAAAAAAATCTGGTGTGAAAGGAGAAACAATTAGTATCTCCGGCTCTGGCCTTATGCTCTTAAAAAGATCTGAAAGTAACAGCAATTTCTAGAGAACCAAAGAGACCTGAGTCTGCAGCAAAATTAAGTCACTGCCTCCTTTTTTAAAAGAAAATGACAGTCATGCTGATTCATCCGCTCTCAAGCAGGGCATTGTCCAAATTAAAGCAGCCACACTTAAGCCATTGGTGCATGTGAATGAGTTACCATTTTTCTCTATCTTCCGTTTTGAGGAGTGCCAGAGATTGGTACATGGATGCAGAAGTGATTAATGTGTTTTAATGATGTATTTCTTGCATCTCTGTGGAAAGCATCTGGATTACATACTCTTCTTTTCTGTCCCTTCCTTGGGCTCTACTTTCTGGGCCGTAGGGAAAGCATGATGGTACAAATGTCTGTGTGTGGCAGCTGCACTGTAAAGTTTATACAAAGCCTGAAAACCAAAACATAAAAAACAGGAGAGGAAAAAAGTTTTCAATTGTTCTTCTCACGGACGACTACTAAGCAGACATGCTGCATGTATTCAATCCTTTTAGCTTTATCTCAAGCGAATGCCTTGTCGTTTCAATTACTGATAGAATGTATGTAAAATGTGAAAAAACAGTGCAAATTCCTTAGTTCAACTACATGTATTCCACTGGCTGTGGAACTCTTTTTGCCAGAGGAATTGATGTTTTAAGTTATTTCAGGGATGGTAATTCTCTAGAGAGCTGACCCTGCTTCCTCTAGCATTAGGGACCTGGATCCGTTCCCAGCAAATATTACAGGGAAGAGCAGCAGATTTAATGGATACCCAGGGTCCTTTTCCTACTTGTTTTGCTCTAAAATCTGCTTGTAACAATGGGCTTTGCAGTATGTCCTGAGCGCCATATTAAGGAGGTTTTTTTGGTCTCTGATCTGCAGCTGCCTTCCCAATTCCAGACTATGATGGGAAAGATTTAATTAAAACTTCCAGTAATACAAATACCCTGAAGTAATATGGACCCACATGCATAGTCATTCATATATGTATACTGGTGGAGAAGGAAATGCTTTTGCATAACAATAAGCTGGCTTACCTCATTTGTGTTGCCCTGCAGAAAAGCCAGTTGCAAAAAGAAAGAAAAAAAGCAAGGTGAGAGAAAGAACACAAGATGTCCTTGCATTTGTATTCCCGTTCCCACTGTACCCTAAAGCAATCTGGAGAGAGTGCATTCAATTTATTCTGCCTTCTCTTCCTCCTGCTAACTGAACCTATAAAGTTGCCTCATTCATTTTTCCAGCCACCAGTTCCTCCAAGTCAAAAGCTATCTATTAGCAACAAAAGCTATCTATTAGCCCTTCTAGATTTAAGTTAAGTATTGACTTAACTATTTTAATATCAATTCTATATATTTGCAATTCTATATATTTGCTGTTTATTCTTTTACTTCCTTTGGGGTCTCTTGAACCATCAATAAAGGAGAGAATTCAGATTATTAAATACATGGTTTTCATGATTTTTGCCTGGAAAATAATATATAAACCATCTAAACATTAGATACACCTAAGATCTGAAGACAAGATTTCTAAAGTGCACTGTGCATAGATATTTATGTAAGGACTAAAACCCAGGATGCCTAGTTCAACACAATAATATACTTTAAACAAACCTTCCTCAATCTACTAGATTCGAACACCTTTTGCTATAGCCATCAAGTAACTGTGGACACCATCTGTCACCCTTGTTTATTTATCCAGGCACCCTTTAGCAGGACCAATGAATTTGGGCACAATCCAAATTCATGCATGTACTATACATCTGCTGTTGTTTTAATGATGTTCCATAATAATTCACCTTTCAACACCATCAGATTGGGAGTGATTTTTTAAACCAATCTCAATTACTCACAAAGCAACTTGGCCAATTCAGGAGAGGGCTCAGCTGTAAAACAGACACTATAACACTGGTCCTCACAAGAAGAGAATGTCGAAGCCTCCTGATTTCTATGTGCTTCTGCTTTAATGCCATATGGGACTTAGACATGATTTTTGTTAAGGATATTCTGATCAGAGATGCATTTGCTTTTAAATCTTTTACTTTAATTACTGAAAAGATAACCAGATCCTTTTATGGCTGCCTTCTGTGTTCTCATATCTAGAGCATAAATCTATTGGGAAACACTAATCTTTCTTCAAATTCACTTCATATTGACTAGTAGCCTCTCTAGAGCAGTGTTTCTCAACCCGTGGCAACTTTGAGACAGCTGGGTGGGGAATTCTGAGAGTTGAAGTCCACTCATCTTAAAGTCGCCAAGGTTGAGAAACATGGCTCTAGGGCTTTCCCAATCTTACCTGGAGAAGTCAAGAGAGCAAACTCTACTTGACTTTGGATCTTTTCATTACCATTAAGATGCCTACTAGCAATTTTCAGCTCTCTAAATTTCTATCATCGTCTCTGTGCAACTATTTCCTATGTTGTAAAAGAACACGTCCTTTTGAACAGCAAACCTCCAAACTGAGGGGTCACAGAAAGCAAACTCCACTCCTTACTAGCACTGATGATGTTACCAGTATATCTAGTTTGGCTAATGGAACATTTGCAAGAAAACAAACTCAGAGAGCACCAAAGACTTCTCATTTCAACCCTGAGCTACAAATACTCTCCTTTATTGGTTTCTCCAAACTGCTGTCCTCACGGAATGTAGAATTTCAGTTTCTATCATTCCCATTTAGTGTAGCCAAGTAAGGGAACCAAAGGCCAGCAAAATGTGAAGACTCTGGATCAGAAAAGGCTCAGTCAAATATTATTAATATTTGAAATGTTAGTTGAAAAGTGCACAGACTGTGAAGGTCGTGGGCAGCTTTGAGAAGCTGTTGTGTGTGTCTGTTTATTCTAGTGCCTCATGTCATTGGGAATTGGATGGCAAACAGGTTTAATAAATAAAATTATTATTTATTATAAAATATTGCTTTGGACTTAAGAGAAAATCATCTGTCTCTCTCTTTTCTCTCTTGTTCCCTCTGATTTTGTAGAGAAGCTCCATTGTTACAGAGTTTTCAAACTTTTTAAGCCTTCACTATTGTCCATTTTGGGTGCCATTCTTCCCTTTGTCTAGGGAGACTAGAAGCTTGATAGATAAGCCAGTGTTAAGGCTCAAGAATGGTTAATGATCTCTTACCTGGTCCCAGAGTGCTGCTGCCACTTGGTCTATGACAGCCCCCAGCTCCCTGTACTCCCCGGAGTATCTGATGTATGCCCATGTGCAAAGGGTGATCAGAGTTAGCCCCATGATCATATTGCAGAGGCTGGCTATGATGTCCAATCCAATGAAGCCTGTGACACCAGCAATGACGTAAGTGATGAAGATGACAACAAACAGAGTGGCCGGGGTGCGAGCAGCATGGAAGATGTTCTTGCTGTCATTGTGCTTGATATACTGGACATAGAGCTCGTCAATTTCTGCCTCCAATTGCTGGAGGTAGCGACGGCTGAATTCTTCACCCCCCATCTTTTTCACACTACGGAATTGCCGCACTGCCTCTTCCTTGAGTTCCAGGTGTTTATTCTGAAGGTCACTGGGAGCAAGAAAAGGTTTGTCACCTCCACACACCTGAAACAAGTAAGTAAAGCATTTTTTAAAAACCCACAGGGTAGAACCCCCTGATCAGAGAAATGTGGCATCCACCAGATTTGTTAGATTTGAATTCCCGGAAGTCTTAGACAGCATGAAAAAAAAAAACTCATACTAGTTGGGAATTTGAATTCAATTCATCAGGTTGAGAAAGCTGGCTTATTCACATGTAACTAAGTCATCACCCTCCTGCTCAGGACAGGAATTGCAATTAAAAGATCCCCAATAAATGGCTATCTACTCTGCTTGATTCCATCAAGTAAAGGGAAATTTGGGGAAACTAGTTAACTGTTGGACTGCCCTTAACATTTAAAGGATATTGATCATTGTTGCATGTCTTTCCCTTGGAACAAGTCTTGATCTGCTTGACATCTATGAGAGTCCATGGAATCTCTCATTTTGGATACAATAGTGCAGAGGTCCCCAAACATGGCAACTTTATGACTTGTGGACTTCAACACCCAGAATTCTAAGAGTTGAAGTCCACAAGTCTTAAAGTTGCCACGTTTGGAGACTGCTGCTATAGTGATTTAACATATTTAGTTCTTTAAATCTTTCTTCATAAGATTTAGTTTCTATTGCTCTGATCATCTTCACTGTCCTTGTCTGACTTGTTCTATTATCTCTGAAACCTTCTTAAAATGCAGGAGTTGGAAATGGATTCAAACGGGGTTTGACCAAAGCAGATTATCTAAACCATATTAGTCCTGTACGATAATATATATATATATGGTATTCAGCTTTGTTCGGGTATTTTCCCACATCCTTGTAGTTGTGCTTTTAAAATTGTAGCAACGTTTCGGCAGAATCTCATCTGCCATCATCAGACTTATGAGTCAGACTTTTACAGTGGTTTCAGTTTTAAATTTGGGGCTAGCCTACTGCTGTGCCAGAATGGTTTTTCTTCATTCTGATTGGTTGGGAGTCTTGGTCTGTGTTTATTGGTCTTGGAGCTTGCTGTGTTCTGCTTGATTGGTGTTTCTAATATCTTCTGTCTGTTTTGTGGCTCTTTTTGTGTCTTGATTGGCTGGCAACATTGTGTTCCTGTATTGGAGGCCTTTAGTGCAGCTTGGCTCCGGGTAAATGGACGGCTATCATTTGTTAGGAAGCTAGGTTTCATCTGGCTGCCTGGTTGGAGTGTGTTTCAGCTGGAGGTATCAGGGGGGAGCTGTTTGTGCCCAGGTGTTTGCCTGGCTAGTGGTGTGGAGATTTTTTGTTTGTCAGTGCAGGCTTCCAAATGATTGGAAGCCACAGGTCATAGCATCAACTTCAATGGCACCAAAACCCTAGCCACTATAGAAAACCCCAGCCACAGAATTATCAGAGAAACCATAGAGATTGAAAAAAGACCTGAAAGCATGAATAGAAGAGATGATTCCACCAGACTGTCAATCATTCCACCAGACTGTTTTTGTGGGTATTTATATGTATGGTATTCAGCTTTGTTCGGGTATTTTCCCATGTCATTATAGTTGTGCTTTTAAAGTTGTAGCAACGTTTCAGCAGAATCTCATCTGCTGTCATCAGGCTTCTGTGTTGTGTTCATCTGTGAGTCAGACTTTCACAGCCGTTTCTGTTTTAAATTTGGGGCTAGCCTACTGCTGCAGCCAGAATGGTTCAGGATGAAGAAAAAAACATTCTGGCACAGAAAATATATGTATGTATGTATGTATGTATGTATGTATGTATGTATGTATGAATCATGAGTTAGTCAGTGTTCCCTTATCCCAATTAAATCAATATACATATTTTTAAAAAGAAAAGCCAGATTGAAATGACCAAAATCTTGCAACAATACCATCAATTCACAAAATTTCAGATGACTTTTGGGGACAGGGTGACCATAGACCATAATGCAGCAAAGTTGAATGATGGCTGGGGGCTGAAAAGCTCAAAGACCTTCCCCTGAGATCCAGGACACGTGTTTTTGGAAGTACACTGCTCTTCGGAAGACACCGGATCCCCAAAGGTTTTACATGGAGTAAAGGAGCTGCGACTCCTTAGAAAAATGATAGGACGGAATCTGAGCCTTACCTCTTCCATTCGTTTGTTGTAAGTATCTTTTGCAGTGGCAACAGCTGCCAGATTGTTTGCTTCTGCAGTGGCCTGTAAAAGCAGAATAGGCAACAGGGACAAAGAGAAAAAAATGTTGCTATGGAAACAGGAGGCCGTTGACCATAACAGTTGGAAAATTTATTAATTGCAAGCAAGGAGGCTTTTTTGCCTAAAGCATCAGAGAACTCAAAGTCAGGGTCAAGCAAACCATGTCAACCATAGGATTGTTCTGGAGGAATCATTCTCACTCAGCACAAGGGGGAAAAGGGTTTTTTTGGAAGAAATGTTTTGCACATTGCCTCAAACTCTTGGAGGAAAGGCAGGGATATAAATCTAAATGTTATATAAATAAGCACCCAACAGAATAATACACAAATAGCTTCTCTACTACTTGTAAAAATTCTTTCAGGGTGACTCCAATCAGTTCTCTTTTTCCATCCACAATCCCTTTTCTCTCCTAGCGAATGCACATTTAACCTGGGAAGAGGTTATTATATGCTTTAATTAAATACTTTCCACAAAATCTCTCCTCTAGTCCACAGTTAACCAGTTAAGGAGCTGATGATAAAGCAGGGACTGGTTTTTTTTCCTTACTGTTCAGCCATTTTGATGGAAAGGGAAAAAAAAACAAGAGATAAGGGCAATATGTCTATGGAGATTCTCAGTCATCCAGATCATGATTGTCCCAAAAGTGCTTTCTTCAAGAGGCAACCAGACTTTCTGGTTTTTCTTTGAAGACATTTTGCTTCTCATCCAAAAAGCTGAAGAAGCTTCTTGGATGAGAAGCGAAATGTCTTCAAAAAAAAAAAAAATCCCAGAAAATCCGTTTGCCTCTTGAAAAAGCACCTTTGGCAGAGATAAGGGAAGCCATTTGGATTGAGGGCATCAGCCAGGCTTTTGCAAGCTAAAGGAGGCTGTATGGCAGTCAGTAGATGGACTGGAGGAACATCAGGATCATCTACATCAATGTTTCTCAAGCTCAGCAATGTTGAGATGTGTGGAAAATCAACTCCCAGAATTCCCCAGTCTATTACTGGGTTGAGAAATTGCTGAGGTTGAGAAACGTTGATGTACAGCAGGGGTATCAAACTTAAGGCCCGGGGGCTGGATCCTGCCCACAGGTGCTTAGATCTGGCCTGTGGGCCCACCCTGGAAACAGCGAAGGTCCACCACAGCCCCACCTGACACAAGTGATGTCATGCTGGCCACATACCAAAGCCATGCCCCCCCTCAGGTCAAACACAACCCTGATACGGCCCTCAATAAAATTGAGTTTGACACCCCTGATCTACAGCATACACCTTTCATTTCAAAGCCGCAGTCCAAGTAGTTAGAAAGTCTCAAAGGCCTGTTTATAGTACTGAGAAGTCTTTCCCAACCAAACATCTCCCCAAAGTGTTGAATTACAATGCTTACAATTCCCAGTCATTGTGGAGAAACTTTGAAAGCTAGTATTTTGCACAGCTGGAGGGTACTAGTGTGGGAAAAGTTAGCCTAGACTACAGACACCCTTAGGACTCCTTCCCTACTTTCTATCTTCTTAGGGCCAAAGACAAACAAGTAAGAGAGAGCTGTAAAAGGCATTACAAATGATTTTAACCAAGATGCCTTGCTAAGCAATAAGTATAAATACTCACTTTGTCCACCAAATAACCTTTCTTGACATTTACTTTTTATTTATTTGAAAGTAAACATTATTTTATTATACTTTAATAAAATTAATAACTGTTTTTCAACCATGCAGGTACACCTATATACATTAGCAAAGCATCAAAAATCTGGTTTACCTTTTTTTCTAAAAGAAAGACTTGATTGAATTGTGAGTGTTTTTGCTTATTTCTTATGACCTCTTGGCCATTTGCACCTAGTAGTGTGCTCTCTATTACGTTCTCCCATCACTGTATTCAATTCCATTAATTTGTTGACCTTCCCAAATTAATGGGAAGTGCAAGATCTGAGCATCTCACACATCTTTAAGGGACTTGATTAGCTCTGTAATTCATCTCTCAGAATTGATAGGAATTGATAGGAAAACAAAATGCTTTTTCTTTCTGATAGAAACATATGTTCTCAACCCCCCCCAGAATGCAGTAATTACCTGCAACATTGATTTTGGATGAGGGAGCTCTTCTCCTTGGTAGATCTTAATATAGGCCTGGGAGAAAGACAAGTTAAAAGACTCCAAGTTATATATGGGATATCATTTAAAACCTGCCCTTAAAATATTATGTCAAAAAATGTCAAAGGTGTTTCTAAGTTCCTATTTATAGAATTAAAATATTAATTAACCATAGTAACCATGTAATGTGTACTATGTCATGGATGCTATGCCTTTAATGATGATTCCAAATGTATCTTAAAAATGCTGGGTTTGTTTTTTTAAAGTTATTGAATTGGAAAGCTGTGACTTCTAAATATCATTTAAGTAAAACTCATAGCAATCCTAATCACTAGCTGTACCACTGGAGACAGTAAAATTCTACTTCAGCCACACCTGAAGGGGTTTAAGCTCTAAACCAGAGGTCCCCAAACTTCTGGAAATTGAAGTCTACAAGTCTTAAAGTTGCCAAGTTTGGGGACCCCTGCTCTAAACTGTTTCTGAAGAAATCTGTTCCCATAGAGCAGGGGTCTTCAAACTTGACAGCTTTAAGACTTGTGGACTTCAACTCCCAGAATTCCTCCTCCAATCATGTTAGCTGAAGAATTCTGGGAGTTGAAGTGCACAAGTCTTAAACTTGTCAAGTTTGAAGACCCTCGCCATAGAGATTGTTTCTGTTTCCAATATGGCAAGGGGACCTTAGCCACTGATCCCTAGAAAAAGCAAGTTTACAAGCCAGAAAGCTCTTTCTTTCATGCTTGCAGCTTACCTTGAAATATTCCACAAGGCCTCGGCAGGTGATCTTATTTCCGTTGATCTCCTTGACATCCAGGCTCTTGGGGCTCAATAGCCATGGAATCAGGATTTTCAAGTTTTTGATGAAATCATCATCTATTTCTGTAAGAGGAACATGAACCTTGTTTGTGTGTTTGCCTTTTGTAACGCAAACACTAGAAACCCCAAGAACTCAGGAGACTTCGGAGTGAACCAATGGTTATCTAAATCAAAATAATGAATTCTATACCGAAGTGTCCAAAATACTGTCTCCTAATTTACGACATGGATCTTTTGGACACTTTCTGTTAATGTATTTTTAATTGCTATCCATGAATGAACTATCAAGGCAGATATAACACAATATGAACTTTTCCATAGTACCAATGGGGGTAAAAAGCTCAGGATGGCAATAGCATTTAATTTGACCAAAGAAGATAAATTTTATTAGGGTCAGATGGTCAACATAATAATAGAAGTTTGGAGAATCAGAAGACTAAATTGCTTACTCATGTATTGGAGAGAGAGGTTTGGTTCATACATTGTGCTAGATTTAAACTATAGTATGCTAAAGAAGCTACAATGACCAGGCTCAAAATAAACCATTAACTATGGATTACAAACCAAAACTGCTAAAGTGATTCAACAAGCAAAACTGAAACCAAGTAGATCATATCATGGATTAACTAATTCATTAATTAGGAACCTGATGGCGCAGTGATCAGAATGCAGTATTGCAGGCTAACTCTGACCGCATCCTGGAGTTCAGTCTTGACCAACTCAAGGTTGACTCAGACCTCCATCCTTCCTAGGTTGGCAAAATGAGGACCCAGATTGATGGGGGCAATATGCTGACAATGTAAACCTCCCAGAGAGTGCTGTAAAGTACTACGGGGCAGTATGTAAGTCTAAGTGCTAATGTGATGACCCAGGGTGGGATACAAAATAAACACAGTCACAAAAAACAGGTGAAGCCCCTTTCATTGCTTCATTTTGCTTCCAAGCGCCAAATATCCTTGACTGGAGACAAAAAAAACTCCCACATAAGCAGTTACAAGAAGGAGGAAATGCCATTTAAATTATAAAGAATAAAAAACAACACAAACCAGGCAAGATAAGGGCTTTAAGACGTCCACAGATATCAGAACACACACTGGGAAGGATGCCAAACTCAGAGAGGAACAATAAACTAGAGATATTTCCATGCTTTGCTTCCAGCACTTGCCCATATGCATGCCCGCCTTCTTATCCAGTTGTCACAGGTGCAGCCTATGAAGAGGATCAAGGCCCTTTCCTCCGGAGTAGACCACGTCTCTCCCTTATCCTCTCCTCCCTGTGTGCCCTAGGATGGATAGGGGATGGGCCTGGGTCCTTCTCTGACTGCCCAGCTGGCCTCTGCCCTTCCCCAGCCTTCTCCAGTACTTCTGGAGCCACACTTCCACTCCCTGTTGGCTGTTTCTCCTCTCCCTCAGAGTCAGTCTCCATCAGGAGCATGACAGCTAATGCAACGGATGAGCCACCATGCTCCTTTTGCCTAGTCTGGATTGTCCTCACTAATGTTTTATTGGTGGACCTTCTATCATGATCTACTATCTGTTACATCTTCCAAATCTTTACCTGGGGATGGCCATCATTATTAGAATCACACAATTCTTGAAAGATTAATTCTGGAGGGTTGGAACTATCATGCTCATCTTAACATTAGGAATTAGGAGAGAACAATACCAGTAGTTTGTTCAAAGGTCTCCTCCTTCCCTGGACATTTCCATGGCATAGCCTGAGACACAGCATTTCTCCAAAGAACTTGGCAGAATCTTACTTTCCTTCAAAAAAACGTTGAAATCTCTATCGCAATACTGTCGTTTTATTACTAGACTGGCCCTTTTGCCACCCTAAGCTTGAAAAATATTTATCAACAAATGTGTCTCTTAGGCCAAAAGAGTTTACTGCTTTTGCAAAGCCTGGCTTGATGCCCATGAGCCCATAGGCCAGTGAGAATGGCCCAATCAGAAACCTAATTCAATCACGAAATGTCCCTAGATGATACTGCTGTGTTGTTCTCCTCTTCTGTGTAGAGCTCGTAGTTTTCCCTTTAAAAATAATCTCTAATCATGTCGAAGGTATCTGAATGGGTAAAGGGAAATTCTCTCAGAATGGCAATCAGGAGGCAGCAGTATTCCAGTATTTGAGAGGTTGCCACAAAGAGGTGGGGGTCAACTTATTTACCAAAGCACCTGTAGGCAGGACAATGGATGGAAACTAATCAAGGAGAGAAGCAACTTGGAATTAAGGAGAAATTTCCTGACAATGAGAATAATTAACCAGTGGAACAGCTTGCTGTCAGACGTTGTAGTTGCTTCATCACTGGAGGCTTTTAAGAAGAGACTGGACAGTCACTTGTCCGAAATGGTATAAGGTCTCTTGCTTGAGCAGGGGGTTGGACTAGAAGACCTCCAAGGTCCCTTCCTGCTCTATTCCAATTAATTGATTGAAAACGAATGTTATCCCTAAAACAGGTCATAGACCCACACACACTCCTGCAAACCCTGACTCAAGATTTGTCTATGATACAGGACCTCCAACTTGGTAGCTGTGAATTCTACTGCAGTTTTTGTCCGCTTGGCTTCTTACTGGTGACAAATGAACTCACCTCTAAGTTTCCCATCAAAATTGGGATTTGTAGCTACTTTCAAACCCGGATGAGGTAAAAGGAAACAGGAGATGTTTGTGAAGCAGGAGTGTATATGCTTCCGCACATTTTGCAGCTCTTCATGCTGGTTTCCGGAAACCTGGGAACAAGCAGGCAGTTACTCTTTCTAAAGGAGGACAAGTATAAATCTGTTATTCATAGTTATTCATCCATGGTTGTATCTTGGTACAGGTGGTCCTCAATTTACAACAACAATTCAACCCAAAGTTTCTGTTGCTCAGTTGTTAAAAGTGAATTTTGACCCATTTTATGGTCTTTCTTGCCACAGTTGTTAAATGAATCACTGCAGTTGTTAAGTGAATTTGGCTTCCCCATTGATTTTGCTTATCAGAAGGTGACAAAAGATAATCACAGTATCCTGGAACACAACAACCATGTTGTGGTTCGCCGACAGCAGGTGCAGATGGCTGAGGTATCTGACAGCAAGGACTCAGACAAGAGGCCTGCATATGATGTAGGGATCGGGCCAGGACTATTGGAGAGTGGGGTGCTGCCTTTAGAGGTTGTGGAGTCTGGCAGCAGTGACGAAGAGGAGCCCGGGGAGCCTGTGCTCAGTGCACATACACGCAAGGCTGCTCGAAGGAAAGAGCAGCTGAAGCAGCACGGGCGATTCGGGAGTAAGGCTGGAAGGTGCTGGGACCTCCCATAAGGGATAAAAGCCAGCCTTTGGGGTTGGCTTCTTTGCAGGAAGCAAAGAAGTTCTTTCTACTCAGAGTCTTCGTTGAAACCCTGCTTACTCCAGTTTGTTTTTTGAAACTTCTGGCTTTGGATATTTATCTGCAATTAGTCTTTTGTTCTTGGCAGCCTTTTGCAACCTTGAAAGGGCTTGCTCTTATCTGAGACAATTAGTTTTGAATGACTCTTGGCTGTGAATGAACAGAATTCACAGAGCCACATTAAAAAGGTTTGCTTTTATACATACTTTGTGTTTGTTTGATTTGAACAAGGCTTGGGTCAGAACAAACCATCATAAATATGAGTCAGTTGCCAAGCATCCAAAATTTGATCATGTGACCATGGAGATGCTGCAATGGTTGTACATGTGAAAAACGGTCATAAATCACTTTTTTCAGTGGCATTATAACTTTGAACAGTTTAAATGAGCTGTTGTTAAGTTGAGCACTACCTATGTACAAAATTAACATAGATCCTTTCAAAGCATAGCCTGTACACCAATCTTTTTCAAACTTGGCAACTTTAAGATGCATGGTCTCCAACTCCAGAATTCCTCAGACAAAATCCACATATCTTAATGTGGCCAAGTTTGAAAAACAGTGCTGTAAACTGTGCCCTGGAAAACCTTCTTGAGTCAATGCCAGCCTCTATTTATCTTCAAGTAGAAGACAAATTCCCTCTGGATTCATGCCTCCTGCCACTGCTGAAATCCTATGTGCAGCACTTAAAGCCCAAATTCCTCCAAGTTAGTTGAAGAAGGCAGCTTCCACAAAGAAATGCTCATCTTCTCATCATGTGTCTGGAGAAAGTACTTAAGTGTGCTTTTGCATAATCACATATATGTTTTTTTAAAAAAAACATGAATGTGGCTTCAGGTCACACTTCTACAGGCCCAAAAGTCATAAAGTGATCCATCTCCTATTTTATGCATCGCCTTTTGGACAAAAGATTTAGCAGTAACCATCCCACAGCTCGAAGGCAATCCTCAAAGCCCATTATGGCCTCTCAGGACTGGGCCATAATATTTGACAGCAAAATTTCAATTTTTCAGAGTATGGTTTTCTGTGTTTTAAGATTTCTTTGGTTTTAAAAAGTACAAAACCAGTGCATTCAGTTTTTACAAGACTTAATGCTTAAAATACTTGTTCTTATTTTAACCATCCAAAACCTTAAAATGACTCAGCCTTATCCACTTGACAAGATCATCACACAACAACTGATGCACCTTCTAGACTTTTTACGAGGCCAAAATCATCATCATCCTTTTGTGGCCCGGCTATAGAAAATAGTCCACTCCTATTGTGAGCCACAGACATAAAAACTAGTCTGGAGAAAATTAATCTGCAACAGGCAAAGAGATGATGCGAGCAAAGGCTGTATATCAGGGGAGTAACCTGTGTCAGAGGGAATGGAGCTAGGATTTTTCAATTTTATTCCTATTGAGAAAAGCTGCACTTTTCCTTTTAAATGCATGAACCCTATTTTAGGCTTCCCAAAAAGTTTTCATACCTTTCCATCTAAGAATTGCAGAAATTCTTTTTTTTTTTCTAGTCACGGCACCAAAATTGAGTTAAAGTATGTTAAGGGACTGTAAACACCACACAAAAAATGTGACTCACAAGTTCTCATTGGTCAACCACAGGGGTTTCCCATCTTGGCAACTTCCCAGAATTCCTCAGCCAGCAAAGCTGGCTGAGGAATTCTGGGAGTTGAAGTCCACAAGTCTTAAAGTTGCCAAGATAGGAGATCCCTGGTCAACCAGGTAGCTTTTCTTCTCTGCTGCCCTCTGCAGTAAATTTAACAACACTAACTTAAAATCGTGATTGATTTTTTTTCCTGCAAGAATGACTCTAATTTGATTTAAGGTTTTAACCAAATTTAGTTTAAACTAATAACCTTAAATCTGTGAGGATTATTTCATTATTGCCTGACCTGATGAGCAAGTCTCCATTAAGCTGGAAAATAAAATAAAAATATTGTGACTGAAAAAACACATGCAACTGTTAATACCAACCTTGAGGCGTTTTTCCAAAAATTTGGCTCCACCTTCAGCCCCGTAAGCAAATTCATAGGGAAAACTCCAGTCACGAACAAGGAAAATAAGAGACTATAAATGCGATAAAAACCAAGAGCAAAGTGAATACAATGTGCAAGCAAGGAAAATATTGCATTCATTTAAATGCATTGTTTTTATCTGTTTATGATGTGAGGTTTAAATAAACTGCTTCATTTTGAAGAAATTGGCTGATTTGTAGCACATTGACATCTACCTGACCCATCAGAGTGGGGAGACAGGGAATGTTGTGGGTCCCATCCCTGAGGAAGATACACTTGGTAGGACTTTACTAGCCAAGTGTGATAGACACACAAGGAATCTGTCTCCAGTGCAGAAGCTCCAGATGCCACAGGAAGCATCTTAAGGATTGGCAAGAGGGACAGGCTGATATAAACCACATTGCACACCTTAACCCTTTTCTGCATGTCATGATGTTGCTCATCTACCCAAAACAGACAGAGCTTAGGGTGTGGTTTTCACCTTCAAAAGCATTAAGATCCTACAGATATCACTGCTTGTCACTAAGAAAATCTGTTGCCTGTCACTTCAGAGGACAGGGCATAGAATGATGATCTTAAGTTATGGAATGGCAGGCTTAAGGCAGTTCTACAGTGGAACCAATTATCCAGGAAATGGTGAACTTACTGGCTGTATTCAAGCAGAGATTGGATAGCCATCTGTCAGGGATACTTTAATCTGAATTTCTGCACTAAGCAGTGAACTGAATTTGTTGTGTGAAATGGCTCCTTCAACATCCCAGATGCTGGGATGTGTCTATGCCTACAAAGATCAGAATCGTGCAGGAAATGGGAGCATAGTTCTTGGATGGGAACTGAGAAATCCAAAACATCAGAATAATATTGCAAAAAATAATGCTGCAGCACTGAATAGCAACTTGGTGATATAATAGCCTTACCATAAGGCAGTGGCAAGTGGTCATTTTGAAGAACTGAGTTATCTCTTCAGAATATAGAGGTTTCCTGTTTGAGTGCAACCTCAAGATTATCTGTGCAGTAAGAAAACATAATTTCTGCAGGTTGCACAGGAAATCTCTCAATTATCTTCTTACCTGAAATGGCTTCAGGAATGTTTCTTCCATGGCTAGCCTTCCATATTCTGTGAAGAGCTGAAACAAAAAGGAAGCCAGGAGGAAATTTTAAACAAGACCTGTGTGTTAACAAATAGTTTTGCTTATATTGCGCTGACCAGAGTGCTTTATTTTTAAATTGGAGCTGAATATTACACTGCTTCCATTGTTTCTAATTCAGGGTATTTATACTCTTTCCCCTCCCTAAAGAATAAGCTAAATCAGTAAAACCACAAAGAGCACCAAGGGAAGCGGGCACCGTAAAATTTAGTCAATTTATTATGACATCAGCTTTTGCTGATGACATTTCTCTTGATCAAATACATGAAATGTGAGCGCATCAATGGATTCCAGTCTGTAAACTTTTACAGCTAAGTGATCTAAGGTGCCACAAAAGTTATTGTCTTTATCTGTATGACTTTCATCCATAAGGTTGAAAACAGAGCTTTAAGTATGAAATTGAAGGTGTATAGGTTACAATATGGTTGAATCCTTTTAATGTATTATTTTAAAATAAAGATACCACAGAGCTGAATTTGGGGCTTCTGTGTTATCTTTTCACAGCTCTAAAGGCATTTTTGAATCTTAAATATAACATTAAAGGCATCAAACATTTGGCCAAAATCTGCTTTAAAAGTCCTAGTAACTTGTCTGACATGTAAATATTTTTAAAACCTTTATCCAGAGGATGTTCCTATTCCCAGGCCTGATCACAAAGATATGGCTAGCAATAATAAGACTAATGTAGTAAATAAACACATGAGATCATCAAAACTATTTAAATGCTAGCTGAATAAATAGTAATAATGCTGAGTCATAATTGCATATCTTTACACCATAAGAACAAACAGTACTTCTGTACCGAATTATAGCACATAGAACTATCCAACTCTTAGGGTCAGAGTAGGGGATGGGTGAGCACTATAGTTACCTGCAAGTGCTGAAGATCATCCTCTTGTACATTCTGTGACAAATTGTACACCTGAGTACAAAACAAAGCCAGAATTGTGTAAAAATGGCTATGAAAATTATTGCCTTCTTGCATGCTCCTTGTGTATGCAATTTCCTTCCTGCTAACTACAGTATGTTGTACTTCCTATAGCCAAGAAGAGATCTCTGTCTAGAGTAATGTCTCCCAAGCTTAACAACTCTAAAACATGTAAGACATGCTGGCTGGGGAATTCTGGGAGTTGAAGTCCACATATCATAAGGAGCAGAAGTTAGGAAACACTGAATTGGATCTTATCAGTTCAGACCTCAAGCCAATGACAATTTTTTAGGGCAATATGTAACTATTTTATTCTCACCCCATCTGTCATATAGTCTGGCTTGCTCATATTAACTATCACAATTGAGAAATTCTACTGTCACCATTTTGCAGTCACACAGCCCTGTGTCTCCATTCAGATACTAAAACTGTGCATGCTCTGGCTCCTGCACTGAAAAGACTATATGACCACTGGAACAGCAGTGAACAGCAGGTCTTTAATGTCTAGTTTGATGAAAAGAAGGACTAGGGGTAACATGATAGCAGTGTTCCAATACCTAAGGGGTTGCCACAGAGAAAACAGGATCAACCTATTCTCCAAAGCACCTGAGGGCAGGACAAGAAGCAATGAGTGGAAACTAATCAAGGAGAGAAGCAACTTAGAACTAAGGAGAAATTTCCTGATAGTTAGAACAATTAATCAGTGGAACAACTTGCCTCCAGAAGTTGTAAATGCTCCAACACTGGACGTTTTTAAGAAGAAATTGGATAGCTATTTGTCTGAAGTGGTGTAGGGTTTCCTGCCTAATCAGGGGGTTGGATTAGAAGACCTTCAAGGTCTCTTCCAACTGTTATTCTATTCTATTCTGTTTTAACAAATCATCAGTGGTTTCAACCTTAGTAAGACGGTAAAGGGCATTTAAGCTAGAAAGAGCACGGTGGCCTTTACTTTTCCCTCTTGAAACCTCAGCTAACCTGAGATCATGTAGAAGAGCAGTGAAAGCACTAGGTTGATGTACTACTGCTTGGACAAGTGCCTGCAGTTTTTCTCTGCAAAATTTTAGGTGGTCTTGCCTCCTTCCTAGGGCTGAGAGAGAGTGACTGGCCCAAGGTCATCCAGCTAGCTTTGTGCCTAAAGCAGGACTAGAATTCATGCTCTCCTGGTTTCTAGCCTGATGTCTTAACCTCCACACCAAACTGGCTCTCTTATATGGCCTATAAAGAGTCAATATCCATCACTAATACTGCAGGTACTCCTCGACTTACGCTCACAATTGCACCCCAAATTTCAGTTGCTATGTGAGATATTCGTTAAGATATTTTGCCCCGTTTTATGACCTTTCCCCATTGACTTTGCTTGTCAGAAGGTCGCAAAAGATGATCCCATGACCTCAGGACACTCCAACTGTCATAAATATGAGTCACTTGCCAAGCATCTGAATTTTGATCACATGGTCATGGTGCTGCTTCAATGGCTGTTAAGTGTGAAAAATGATCATAAGTCACTGCATTTTGACACTGCAGAGGCAGTGCCACTGCCACTGTCTGTTACCTGGATGGAGCTGATCATGGTGCTCAGAGCAAAGACAGTGGCTGAATCTCGCAGTGTTGACTGGCTGTCGAAGGTGCCCTGAGTATCCATTAGAAGTACAGCAACCTGTAAAAACATGAGAGGGAGAAGAGAATACAAGATGAGGCCCTTAGGCACTTTATTTGCTAAAAATAGATAGATAGATAGATAGATAGATAGATAGATAGATAGATAGATAGATAGATAGAT